GAATTATGATAGGGAAGTTATGAAATATTAAACAAATGCACCAAAGGAAAATTGTTAATATTGCAGCATTATTTTTTCAAAATAAGTCCAATGTTGTACCATCAATTCCAAGGGAGCTAAAACAATGGCCCTGTGGATGTGTTTGAGGGGGTCAGTAAGGGGAAACATCAAGTCAATCATAGATAAATAGTTTGGCAAAAAACCACATATTATGCGAAATTATCCGTAAAAATAAACCCACACAACCTGCAAAAATCGACCTCACTTAACAAGTCAGGATTCAGCACATTACCGGACCGAGATTTCGAACTAAACACAACGGCTGTATTTAAAATACGTACGGTAAGGGATCGAGTTTGGCGCGAAAGCAAGAAGGTGCGTGCACTGCAGCAAGCCAGCAATTCCCACGATCAATCGACGTAGTTGCGTGGCCCGTGCAACGGAGATTTTCACGCTGTAGAAAGTTTCAGAAGTCGTGCAACGAACATGGACATCTAAAATGTAAGCTTGGTGTTGTATACTAGACAATGTGAACAAATTAAGGTGTGGAAAGTGAAAGTCATGCATCGCGTATCGTATCAGCAATAAAAATTTACGATACCTTGGAAAGATCCGCCCTAAAAATTCATCGGAGAGTGTTTATTTCTTGTAGCCGTGCTAAAGGTTGCAATTTTGCGGGTTGTTAACATTTTGTTCTGAAACTTTCGTCGAGAAACTTTCGCCGTTGAACGGGCTACGCAACTATGGCGATCGATGAGGAAAACTACGTCGTGTAAGAAAACACGAGAGTCACCCGGCAGCTTCTCTTCGCTGATTGGCCAGAAAAAAATTTTTCTGGCCAATCAGAAGCAGGCAATTCAAACGCTTCTGGAACTGGTTCGGTAAGAGTAAGTGCGCAGGGGCTCGTCTCGATCTTACAGTAAACTTTCACCACGAACATTTTATCGACCCGACTAACTGCCCCTGGGTCTCCGAGGATGACTGATTTCCGGTCGTCGTTTTTCTTCAACCGAGTTACTTTCACATTTTTTTATTGCGGAAATAAGCCTCTCCCCTTACGAAGATGTATAAAACCCCTGGGATATAAGCCCCTCCGTTTATATGCCCTCCTAAAACCCCTTAGGAAGATGTACAAGCCCAAGCTTATAAGCGGCAGTTTACAGGATGATTTTGAGAAGCCCGAGTTAAGTAGTTTTCCTACTAGTCGCACTTTCGCCGTCAGTTGTGCCCACCTTGTTTGCCTCGCGGACCACACTGTTCGTTCGCAGATTATATAACTACACTCTGATCCGTAACTGCATGCTAAAATGGGCCACTGAATCTGGAACGAACAATGAAAAGTCATATACAGCTGCAGTATGATCTAAATCTGCCTGACCCCAGGCTCTTTACACCAATCCACAGTACTTGCTTCTCAGTTGCACTTCTCTTTTAAAAAATGCCAAAAGTGGTCCAGAGTCTACGATCTTTGGCGCCTTTTAAATACGACTAAGTGTGAATTATGAAAGAGCTTCCGTACGGTTGCCAATAACTATCAGGGAACTATGCTCATACTTAGTAAAGCCCGTGTACCAGTCACCCACAACAGCCTAATTCCACTGCCAGGGCTCCTGCCAAATTCCTATGGAACAAGAGAAGAAAAAGCTCCTCTGTTGTATTGAACTATTCAAGAGTTTTATGAGTGACAAAATTAATTGTTTTTGCTAGCATCAGAGCTAACTAAAAAGCTCCTTAGTTTAGCCTTTTATTGAAAAAAGCCTTATGTCACGAGTAAATTTTTGTAGAATGTAGACGATCTGTCAAAAAAGAAAAACAAAGATGTACGCTGCATGTGACCGTGATAGTTCCCAAGCCTTCTGAGCCAAAGCGTGTTTGCACGTCATTCAAAATGGCGACGCAACGCAGATTAGCCTGCACTGCTTACTGCAGGGCAGGCGTTTTCTTCGGGCGCGTGAATGTTTTTGCTCGTTGTTTAACTCGCCAATATTTCTACTCTCCCAATCTTCCTCTGTCATAAAATCAAAGATGGCGGCTACAACAATACGAACATAAACACAGACCTGCCAACCCCTGATAAAGGAAAATCTGGAGACTCATGAAAAAAAATCTGGAGATTCTATAAAAAATAGTGAGATTCTATTTTTTTCCCGATCAAGATTAAACAAACCCCTTTTCCATCCTTTTCCACCTCTTTTCGCCATGTTTATACGATTGCGATCGCTTTCCCGCGCTGAACGTACAAAGACTACTGGGAAACTCAACATGGGAGACGCCTTACGCCTTGAGACGCCTGGGAATTAGACCTCGTTCCCAGGGCCTACTCCCCTTTCAAAATGGCGGACAGACACGAAGAAAAACGATTAAGTTTATTGAACACAAGCGAAAATCACAGCTGTGTACAAAAAAGTAAGAACAGTGTTCTTCTTTATTAGTTTTTCACTTTATGGCACAAGCATTCCTCGTTAATTTCCCATTTTTATTCTGATTCAACAACTTAAATCATTTCAGAATGATTTTTCCCAAAACCCGTAAGATTGAGGAGCCTTGTCGTGAGACCGTGAGAAATGGCAAAAAATCGTGAGACTCACGGCAGAACCGTGAGAGTTGGCAGGTCTGTAAACAAGGTTTCGCCGACCCAAAATACGGCTGCACGCCTGCACGGCAGACTAAGCGCAGATCAGACATAGCATCAGCTATTAAAATTTGTTGCAAATTGGACTGACAGCGCTACCAGCTTGTAACTGATAAGGTGGCCAGAGTTATGGGACTCATAGCGCTAAAAGCGGCAGGGGTATTTTGCAGAATTGGAACGCCGAAATGACTCTGAGGTTTAGTGATTAAGGTAAGGAAACAGGGTAAATCAGGTTCCACTTAGGACCATTATAATTGGCAAACTGACCTGAAACTTGATTCACTCAGTTTCACTAACCATAATTACTTAACTTCATAGTCATTCGGCGTTCTGCAAAGTTACCCCTGCCGGTGTTTCTCGTGCGTTACATCTCGATCCACGCTACAGTTACTGCATTTTAAAAGCTGTTTCCTCGCTAATCACGGCCAGTGCATAGCGCAGAAACATAGGCAAATTTATCTTCCTTGTGTAACCCAGTCGCCCTTCTATTAAAAAATACATTGGAAAGGTTATTTTGAAGGCATGCTTGTTTTACAAACCTGGACTGCGAATACAGTCGTCTTTCTTCGATCGCCTACTATACTCGCTAACAGCCTGAGGAGCGAGCTGGGAGAGATGGCTGTTTTCGAAGGCTAGTTTGTTATCAAGCGAAAAACTGATGTTTAACTGACAGACAAAAATTTTTAGAAATATTTGAATTAAAACGAACTCAAATACGGACCTCTCGCCTGAATTTGTCCATACCAAGTTTCTTTGTCTTCTTTGGACGCGAATGACATGATTTACTTGACTAGCCTGCGTAGCAGGCGCTTGGAAGTAGTGGGCCAAAAAGAGAGAACGGGCGCGCGCGAGGGAGACACGCAAAGGGTGAGGGAGCGCCTGCACGGAAGGCCACCGAAAATCGTTTCAACTCGCACTCTGTGAGTGCGGATATTTCCAATTGGTCGAGAGGCTCCCGAGGGAAAAATTAACCGCGCGGGGCGAGAAAACTGTCAATCAATAGTACATGGAGAACGTAGTGAAGATCTTACATTACACCACTAGCTCCTGAAGCCGCTAAATTGTATACAATCGAAGTTCAGGTCTCGGAGGTCACTTCAATCTGGTTTAATGGGACTATGTGGCCGTAATCTCAAAGAAAAGTTGGAGTGTTCAAACGGTATTCACGATGGAAAGAATTGACATCAGATACGCATTAGCAGAAGTGGCGAGAAACAAAAGATTTGTCGAGTCGTGGCAATGAAGATCAGAGGAAATATTCCGTTTGCTCAGGAGAACTTGGCCGCTTGTGTTGTCGATGGAACGTATACCATCAAAACTTGGACATGATTGATGAAATGAAACACTTGCCAGGGGCACGAATTTGAAAAAAAAATTTCACTATTGTTAGTATTATTCGCCGTTCGGAGGCGACCTGAGGTCTGTTGTTTATGTCTCGTTACTGCAGTAGAAAACATGTCGGTACAGTTTAGGTCCGCTTAGTAAGACATGTCGGCCACTTAGCGCAGTAAAAGCAATGATCATTTTCCACGTACGCTGTGATCGTTGGTGTCTGTCCAGTTGTGGCTGAGTAAGCTCAGAGAACAATATTTTTAGTTTTTTATAATACACAGCATGCATTCTTTAAAAGATAAGGATTAAATTAACTGCAAAAACCGTGGACGAAGATCCTGCTACCCAGTTTTGACTTTGTTGTTTCCTATTTATTGTGCCTGTGGTTAAAAAAGATTTAAAGTTGTGTGTCAGTTAACCATCAGTTTATTGCTCCATCGCTATATAATCAGATAACCCAGCCGATCTTTATATAAACATATATTTAGACCGAAGATAAAATGTACAACGCTTTTTGGCGGCACGCTTTGTTTGTGCGAGGTCAGTCGTTTTCTGTCAAAACTTTTGACAGCTCACGCAACGGCTGCCAGGTAATTGGAGAGGGGGCGGGAAACGATTTTCGGGGGCCTTCCGTGCAGGCGCTCCCTCTCCCCTCGCGTGTCTCCTTCTCGCGCACCCGTTTTTTCTTGTGCCCACTACTTCCAAGCGCCTGCTACGCAGGCTATTACTTGACCATCTCCTCGATATAACTTAAAAAGGAACACATTATTTCAAAAAGAATAATTACTTGTAAACTAACTGGCTATTATATAGATTCTTACCGGCAATTTTTCTTCGTGGATCATCGGCAAATTAACCACCACTTGGACCAAAAAGATAAAACGATCAAAACAAAAAATACTGTTCAAGATTTCATCCTTTCGCGCCATTGTTCTTAAAATTTCGCGCCAAAAATTCGCGCCTGTGATCAATAGCAGCGGCTTCCATGGTAATAATATGCGCGCCCCACTTCCCGGTAAATTATGAATATTCAGGTTACTTCGCTGTGGAGAAAACAGTTACAGCAATGAGCTTGTAAAACTGCTTGATTCTTGAAAAGAACTCTTTTTACCAGCTAGAACTCATGCCAAAATACAGCACAAGGACTTATGGCCGAAATCGCAGCAAAGAGTCGCAAATTTCCAGGGAATTTGATGAAATTCAGAAGAGCGAAAATTCGAATTCGTCCTCTACTTCAGAAAACACTTTCACAAAAAAACTCAGCAGAAAGTCACCATGGTCGAGAACAAGTAGGGTCGTTGAACTAAGTGTTAACAACTTGGCAAAGGAAGCAACTGTAGACGGATCAAAAACAAACAAACGCAGGAAATTAGACGTGATTGAGGAGAAAGACCCATTCGCTTTTGACGAAGATGACGTGACGACCCAAGGCTCAAAGAAAATCGTATCTCAAAGTAACGCCATCACTAAACAACGAATCACAAACCAGGCATTAACAACAGAATTTACCGATAAAAGTACAGATGATGAAGCTTATAGTAGCTCACAGGAATTGAGTGAAACTTCCTCACAGGGCGGTGAAAAAAAGGTTTCCGGTAATTACAGGAAAAAGCCAACTGGGGTAAGTCTAAGTATATTTTTCTGAGGGATAGAGGGAAAATAATTCTCCAATTTCAGTGAACTATCGAGCTTGCAATTATTATTTTATTCATCAAATTTTTGCGTGGAACGAATGAAAAATAAAACAACACCAGGAGAAGAGCAGCAGGTTCCCTTAAAGTGCTTTATGATCAGGCATCACAGTGTTCGTATAATGTGTTTATGTTTTGTTATAACAGGTGAGTTTGCTCATAGATGTGTGCAGTTTTATCACGCGGGTCTTCTAAGAAATGTTTTACTTTAGTTGTCAATGAAAAAATCATAGTATTTGGTACTATTAGAAAATCACCCTGGATCTAGTATACCCAAAAAACTTAAATTAGTTAATAAACTTATTAATTAGAATTAACACATAACAAAATGAATTAAAATGTGATATGTCCATTCTTGTGAACTTCATTGGCTTCAACACATTAGTAATCATCACAGTTGTGTACACTTCTTAAGCAGTTAAAAAAAAAAACCTGAAACATATTCAGGCTTGAACAAGATTCCCATGACCTGTTTGATGCCAAGTGCTGCAGTGCTCTTACCACTGAGCTATCATGCCAATTGTGAGCTGGTCACTTTTTGAGTTTGTAATATACCGGTAGCAGATGAAGATGTGAAAATGAACAAATTACATTTTATACATGTTTATCACTTCTGTGTTAAATCTTTTTCCCACAGTTCTAATGTATGAAATTTCTTCCATTCATTTTCATGTCAATGGCTTTGTAGAGATGGTACAGCTGCCATTGTCATCCTGGTATTGACCACAGATGGTACTGTTTGTCTGTAGTATTTTTTCTTTTCATATTGTTTCTTTGTTACTTTGCAGTCCCCTTTCAAAAATTTTCTAAAGAACAATGACAAGTCATTATCACCAAATAAAAGCAACTCTTTAAGGAGACTTTCAGCCTTGGTAAGAGCTTAATAATATTATTATGTTTACATTTCTTATACTTTAAAGAGAACTTTGCTCCTTGACCCACCTACTCATAGGCCAGGTTGTAGTCACTCAGGTTTACAATACAAAATGTATTAACAACTTTTTTCAAACTTAGAGTAGCTCGCTGATTTTACTGCAGTAGGTGGCTAAAAAAGCCAGCTGCCAGCTCCTGATGACAGCCCTGAATTAACAAGAACCTCAAATTACAAAATTGGGTTGAAAATTTTGCTTTTTCTTGGGTTAAAGGGAATCATCTTGGAAGAAATCCATGCAGCGTGCAAAGAAAGTAGTTTCTGATAGCCCGGGGCTAGTGGATTTTGCTATTGGGCTAGTGAATTCTGTTCTTAACTTGCCCGACGGGCAAGTGAAGTATTTTGAGGAATTCAGCCTACAGAACAACTGTGAAATCATTTCTGCTCATCAAAAATTTGGGGGGGGGGGACTAGTTGAAATGACCTTCAGGCTAGTAAATGCTAGCTTCAGCTTGCCCGAATGGCAAGCTGTAAAAATGACTTTCTTTGCACACTGTCCACGGCTAGCATACATGCATAGCACAATGCGTAGACCACAGAATTTTATCTCTGCAGCCCTCTTTGTTTTATTTTGGTAATGATTTAATTTACTTTATGACTGATTATTGTTAGATTCAGTTTGTCATTCCTAAACCAGTCCCATGTGTTGTTTTGATTGGGCATTGTAGTCCCTCTTACCTCCTACCATCCTTGTTTGTATGGCCGCCCAGTTTATATTATACCCATTGGCTCTATTTATTTTGTTTGAAGCCTACTAGTGCAGATTTTAGTGAGGACTCCCCAGATGATGAGTACGCTGATGTTCCAAGTGTCAAACGGACTTCATCCTGGCCACAGCCAAAGAAAGAACACTCTGCGAGTGCAGTAAGAGTTAAAAGAACAGAGAAACCAGTGAGTCAATAGTCATTGTTACAGATCAGCAAGTAACATCAATATCTGTGACTTTTTTTGAATTTCAACCTCCAGTTTGTGAAAAACTTTGTTACTAGTATTATTATTTTTTTTAAATAACATTGCAGTTTCCTGTCTTTGTTTTTGCCATGATGGGTAACAATTATTTTTTTGCAATTCTAGCTTTTTACAGTTGTGAGAAATGTGAAACAAGTTCATGAATGCTTGGAGTCTGGCGAGGATCAGCAGGTGTGATATAGTGTGACACTGAAATTGAAACTTTGTAATATTAATAATAATAGCAGTAGTTTCATGTTGGAAAAAACAAACAAACAAACAAAAAAAGTAAGCACGAGTTCAGAAAAAAAATTAAATAAAATTGATTTTGATTATTGAATTGTTCAATTAGCACTTCTGTTAGGATGAGTCAATTATGTACACTCAGGTTCATTAAAAATCCAGCTGACAGAGGGCTAACAGTGTCACTGGATCTTGGAGTAGATTAATCATCACTGAAAATGTGGGGAAAATCCCATAATTATAGATTCCAAGTAACCTCAGTCTGTATTGTTTTATACATGGAAGGTGATAAGATTTGGCAGCATGACTTGCTTCCCTCTTTTCTTGGTTTAAAACTCTTTGCCTCTTGCAGTTGACAACTTCCTCATAACCTTCCAGGACTACCTTTGGGAAACTACCCAATCTAGTTAATCAATATTAAATAGATTGTAATATCTCCTCCTATTTCATTCAGCATGTAGTAAGTACTGAATTTAAAAAACCTTGATCTTTTAAAAAACACTTAGCTTTCATTTCATTATGACCAAAGATCAGCGTGCAAAGAAAGGCGTGTCCAATAGCCCATGGCTAGTGGATTTTATTATCGGGCTAGTGAATTCTGTCTTTAACTTGCCCACCTGGCAAGCAAAATTTTTTAAGGAATTCTAATCACAAAAGAACTGTTATCAACCCTGCTCATCATTGGGCTAGTTAAGATGACTTTTGGGCTAGTACATGCTAACTACAGCTTGCATGAATGGCAAGCTGTAAAGTTGACTTTCTTTGCTCCCTGAAGGATAGTAATGCAGAATAACATAGAGATGTATACTGGCATGTGATGACTTTTTCTTAGTTCTTTGATGATGTCGAGTACCTTCTGGATGGCCTCAAAGAGAGCCGATCAATATCAACACGTTGCCTTAGTGCCCTGGACTTTGCATCACATTGTTCTCAAACATTGTTTAGAGTGAGTCTAAGAGCCCATGGATTTTCACCCAAGATTTTTTCATCCCTTCAAGATGCTCCCTCCGATAAGGTGAGGATTCCAATAAATTGAAACAGTTATCACATTGTCTTAACAAGAGTCCATGCCAGTAATGTTTTGTAATGATGTAGGGTTTATCGATGGTTCCCAGGAAGTGGTATTATTTATCCATTACTGACAATGCAAAAGAGAAGGAGACACGGTCTAATGAGCCACTTGGCTCAAAAATACAAACTTAACCTTCACCTTTTACAATGTATAACAGTTACCAGTGCCGTACAAACAACTTATCGATGAGATCAAGCAAAACTGACTACGAGAGAACGACTGGAGAACTGGCAATTTGACTAACAATAGGCGACTGTTTAACTGTGACAATAGACAGATTGAAACGCACCAATTACTGATTACGAGTCTTCATAGCCAATAACATCACAGCTTAACTGACAGACGACCAATAACATCACTATGTCATTGACCAATCAGATCAATAACCAGAGTATAATACCATTAACTGATGTGATACAACTCACTTTGACTCTGAAGATGACTACCGCACAGGTTGTCGAAATGTCAATCATTGTCAACGACAACAGTCCTATTCAGGACTACATTCACCCGGACGATCAAACTCAACCTACTTTTTATTAAATACAGTTGACTCCCGATAACTCAAACCCTCGCTAACTCGGACCTAGCGGTAACTTGAACCAAAATCAATTGCCCCTGGATTTCTGTCATACATTTACTGTAATTTTACCCTTGGTAACTCGAACCCTCGATAACTCATACCTCCCGCTAACTCGAAGTAGTTTTTTCCCCCTCAGATCATTTCTATATAATTTTACCCTTGATAACTCAAACCATGTTTTGAGCCCTTAAAAATTCGGAAAAAACAGTCTACTAGTGTCCGAAACATTGAATTTTGAATTCCCACTGGCGTGTTGTACGCATATAGTTTACTAGTGGAGGCTGTTTTGTTTGTCACAAATCTAACGTGAAACAGCTTTACTTCCCAAAACAGTAAAACACATGCTCTGTTTAGGCTTTTGTTTTGTTATGTTACGTTCTGTATTATAATTTAGAAGTATCTTTCAATTTTTTACTTAACATTTCTACAATTAACTGTGTTTAAAATGTTCACCCTGTGGTAAAAACTGTTTTTTCTTTACTCCCGGGTATTTTCTTCGAGCTCCCAATAACTCGAACTTTTTTCTATTTCCCTTAAGGTTTGAGTTATTGAGAGTAGACTGTATACATGTTGGTGCAGTGATGCAGTGACTAGCATTTTTGCACTTTTACTCGGTTAATACTTTAATTATTTACTCATCCTATTGCCATTCCAGTGTCTTGCTCTTTGTACATCAGCTATAACCTTGATGTTATCTCAAGATCGTCAAAATGCTGACTTGGACAGATTTGCTCTTGGTGAGACCCATTATCATCTGCTGTCATGTAGATTGCTCTTCTCTTATTCCTTTCAAAAAAAGTCCCATATAATATACCATGCACTTATTGCCTGTTAGTGGACTAACCATGCCCTTCGGCAGTGTCATGAGATAAATTTGACACAGCTCTCAAATAATGTCCAATGTCTTTGTGACAGTAGGGAGTTTTAGCAACGAGGATGGCAATGGCAGCCAGAATGTCACTATTAAAAGTCTTCGCTTTGTTTCAAAGTTTGTCTCAATAATTCAGCTCGCTTTAATAAAATGTCAAATGTAGCTAAATAATTATCATTGGAATTAAATTAATGGGAACCTTATGGAAGATTAGAAGAAGAAAGACAAATAATATCATTAATTTTGTTGTTGTGTGTTTACATCCATAAAACTTCCCACGCTGGAATGTCACATTGTAGTGGTTCTTTTTTTATGTCCTTGTTGTTGTCACCATCATGACCTTTGCTGTATCATTAGTTAACATAATCTCTAGGCCACCTTCATAATTGACATACTGGTGTATTAGTGGACTGACTTTATACTCTGGTTTGTTTATCAGAGCTGATTATTAAGTTACTGGCAGTTGATAGCAACAATCAACAGTCCAAGATACTGAAGGATTACAACAAATATGTTACTAAAGTCAGGTTTGTTTTAAGCTTTATATCTGTTCATTATTAAGCAAAAAATACAATGAACATATTTTAAATTTCCGAGCACTACTCAAAAGACCTTTAGTTAATTGAAGGATAGGAAAGACCTTACCTTAATGAGAGCAGGTAAAAACCCCAAGTCCGATTGCTTGGGGCAAGTATATTTTGATGTTGGGCAAGTAAAAATAGAAATTTTATCCTTAGTAGTCCTATGAGTCAAATCCTGTAGTTACTCTGTATCTGGTACAGAATTTAAGTACTTGTCAATCTAACCTGCAATCAGGCGGTCCTTCTTCCCTTGTGATTTATAGATGAAAAAAAAAATACTGCCTGATCGCAGGTTACCAGTGATCTAATTGATACACTTTGTTGCAAATCTATAATTTATAATAGACAGTACCTAGTACCGTAGAACTATAAAATGATGATGAGGCACTCTGTTCCCTTGAGACAAGTCATATTTATAGATAGGGGCACGTGAAAAATGTAGTTTACTCGCCCACTTGGCTAGTGGATTTCAAATTTTTTTTCTGCCCTGTTAATGACAATCAAATGTTATTATTCCGCAACATGTTTTAGCAAGTAGTATTGATTTTATACCAAATTTGTTTTTGTTTGCTTCTTGTAGAACGTTACTAGAAAAACAAGGTGCATCAGATGAATTACTGGCAACCGTGGGTGATGATATCAATGTAAGCCATAGAGTAATATTATGCACAGTTTAATCACTTTGTTGCAGATAAACTGGCTGATTATATCTTTAGTGGTGGGAAACATTTTGTGGGCCCTACAGAGTTATTGCCACCCACCTAGAATAGCTAAGGGACCGACCATTAGAAAAGTTATGGGGGTGGGGGGTGGGGAATTTTCTAGCCACAGGAATTTTTTTTCGTTATCAAATTCCTTGTATGAATATTTTTTAGGCCATAGCATGAATACTTTTTAGGGTTAATTGGCATGCATGAATTTTTTTTTTTGGATTTAATTTTCCCTTGCGCGAATATAATTCTAGCTAATTCTAGCTAATTGTGGGTAACATAGTCATATTATAAATTATTTTCAAATTGAATAAACTATTGTTGGTGGTGAGAAAAAAATGATACTTTAGCAATAAGTAAAATGCTTATGCTCATTATCCATCAAAACAGAGAAGGTAGTAATGTTGTTCTGCTCTTAACTTCAGCCTGCATCTCTGGCTTGCGAGTCCTTGCTGTCATTGACGTCACAGAGAACAGGGGAGTGGTTCAAGGAAGAGATCCGACTTCTGCAAGGACTGGATCATATTATGGACATAGGTAAAGTGATGCCAATTTTCAAACTACTGTGTTTTATGCAATACACATACTTGCACATTTTTTGTAAAATGTAGGTCAAATATGGCAGTAATAATAACAATTATTGATGCCAAAGAGCTTAATCTTCTTATAAATACCAGTAATAAAATGATAAATATTGAATACAAAGGTTACACAATGCAAGCTCTGCCTTCATACAAGTGGTGCAAAGTACAAGCTCCTTCGTTCATCAATGAATTTGGGCAAAACGTGAATAACACTGGGGCCCTGGTTAGGCAAAGATTGTCATCAAGAGAATGTACATTCCTGTTTGTGTCCTTGGTACAAAGAGATTGATCAAAGTAACAAACTTAAACATCAGCTCTTTTGGACCTCAAAGTGTTTATCCTGAGACAAAGATGAAGCTCATTGATGATGAAATATATCAAGAATGAGATGCAGTATTTCATCACCAGATGAAACACTGAGAAGAGAAACAAAATGATTTTAGAGAGAAATTAAGGATGCAAAACTGAGCAGTTTTTCACCTGATTTCCAAACGCTCATTGAACATTAATTTCCTTGTGAATTATTAATAAGTTTGAGAAGTAAAGGTCAATTTGCAGGACAGTAGTATAGATTTAAGGGAAGAAATTAAGAGTAAGTTCTTGTTGAATACATTGCTAAAGTAATAATATGTTCCTTTATGTCCAATACCTACCATTGTTGTTTAGGTGTTAACACTATTGGCCAGCTTCTAACAAGACACTCAGATGGCAAAGTACAGTCTGAGCATGTACCAATTTCTAAGCTGAAGAAGATGACAAGATGCATGAAACTACTTGAAAATGTGAGCAATTAATTGATCATAAAAAACAGTAATTTTCATTCAAAAGTGTGTGCCTTGAGAAAAGCCCCAAGTGACTTCTGATAAACTTCAAATTCTCCTTTTAGACTGTCCCATAACTTCATAACAAACAAAGGAGAATTTGTTACGAGACCACAAGTCTCTTAGGGCTTTTTCCACTCTCTCCTTCAATTGTTTCCTTACAAGACACCTAGGTACTTAGTGCTCTAAGCTCAACTTTTTCCGAAGTAGACTTTGAACCTAAAATTTCAATGAAGAGATAAATAGATAATCAAAATGACTGCCAAACCATCACAAACAAATGATAGCCAGGTGAATTAGAAAGAAAATTGAGCTTAAGAAATTATTTATGTTTCCTGCAAATGTTTCATTATCATTGGGATCATAAAGAGAAACTAATTAAAACATGCTCTTTGGCTTGGCAAATTATGGCCAAAAAATTTCTTTGTACTCACCTTGAAGACCAAAATGGTTGCAGCTTGCTGTGCTTGTGCTCTTCAGAACTTGTCCAAATATCTATGTGCATTCCAGATTGAATTGGAATATTTAAGTGTTGGTTTTTGAAGAGAGGAAAACCAGGTAACATGGAGAAAAACCTCAACAAACAATCAAGAAAACCAACAACAAACTCAATGTTCATACAGCTTCACTTTTGCAGGTCACATTGGTTTAAGGCAAGTGCTCTCACCTGACTGTACACCAGTCCCTTGCTCCCCTAAACTGTATGCCAGGCCTTTGGTGTTAACATTTGTTTTATTTACTTATGATCTTATGCTGATAGGTTACAATCCAGAATTCAAGTAATCAGCAGTACATTATAAGTTACGAGAAAGGTTATTTTGTCTCTGCATTGGTCAGGTAAGGCAGATTCTCTGTGGATAAATGGTGTATGAAGATTTTCATAATCTTCTTACTGTTAATAATTATTATTAACAGTAAGTATGTATGTAAATATTATAATATTATGTAAATATTATAATATTATGTAAATAATTTAATAATGTTCTGTGCTAAGTGATCAAGAACTGGGGCTAGACTATCAAAGTTCATTTTTTAGTTTTGTGGCCTTATAGCAAACTTAAAAGTGTCATGCATCGGACAGAACAATGATTTTTGTGTTTTTCATGTGTACGGTATTTTAATGTCAGTTTCTTGGTATATTTACACTCAGTGAACAAGCTTGGACAAACAATCTTTGTTTTTAAATCCTGCAAAAACATACATGTACTGTTCTGTTTGGTGATTTTGTTTGTCTCAGCTCGATCCAATAAGTTAAGCTAAATAGTTAATACTGTTTGGTTATTTTCCAGGTTATTACAGCTATGTCTCAATGCCCTGAACAATGGCATCTCACAAAAGAAAGTCAAGGTGAAACCAGACAAAGCTTTTGAAGATTGCTTTTTCAGTATTCTGAAAGTTTTCCTGAATCTTACTCACAACTTTGGTAAGTCCACTTGCAACTTGGATTTCAGTGAAACTGCATCAAAGATTTTCTTGGTCCCTTTTTCTTGCAAATAAAATGCTTCAATTTTAAAGATTCAAGTCTCATATCTGATTTCCGGAACCATAATTTTCTTCATGGCCATTCGCCAACCAAAGATCATACCATCCTCCCCAGTTCTTTAAGATCACCTGCATATCGGTCCCTAGCTCCCTGGGATCAAATGTGTGACTAACACCCCTGCTCCCTGGACCAGCTTATTCCAACTGAGCTAAACTAGGTGCCATTCAATGATTAACACATTTTTAGTAGCCTAAGCACATGGAATACTGTGGAGTATTTGTTTTGAGTTGTTGATGATCAAGGTTGTAAGAGGTAAATGAGAGGAGTTACCTGTTTCCCCCACCCTGTCCCCCTCCATCCCCACCCTGCCCCCTGTGTTATGTTATGTGTTGTGTATCTTGTTTTTTTTTCTTAGCAGTTAAGAACATAGCACAGTGGTAAAGTTTTGGTAATGTGTTTAAGATACATCAATATCCATCGTCTTATCAAGAATGTTTTAAGTACCATGAATTCTGTAGATACTTGGTGGAAAATACCAAGAACTTAAACTAAACCAGAGTGAATTATGTTTCACCTTTTAGCCAAAAATGGTCATTTTTGTGAGGTTTCGTGTATTTATTATTCATTACGATTTATGAAAATAAAAGTTATCCTTGGCAAAACCATTCCTCTTGACCTACACCATCTATGAACAGTACTCGAAAACTTGTTCTTGTAGAGGCAGGCAGCTCATGTATTGGACAGCAAGAAGGTTTCCTTTCTTCTCTTCTCTTGACTGTTTTACAGGTTAGTAACACCTCAACAAACATTTGGAAGAAAACATTAATGTTACCATACTTGTAATTTGATAATAAAATTATTAGTTTCAGTTGACAAGCATTCTTTCACCTTTTTGGCTTTTAGAAGTGATGCTGCATCATAATACTGTAAATAAAGTTACTAATTTTTTGGTATGATTAGAGCAGTCCTCGGAGTTGTAATATTCTAGGCAGATTTGTAATTTAGTACAATCAATTCTCTGTAAGACAGATGCCCTTGGGACTGGCTCTATTTGTCCGTCTATAGAAAGTCAACTAAAAGGAGCAAAGAAAGACGGACCAACTGGAGGTGTCAATTCGAGCAAGGTGTCCATCTTATAGAGGTGTCCCTTAGGAGAGAGTTTACTGTAATGCAGGAAAAGTGTCACTGTATAAACAAAGTAAAAGTCAGTTATAACATCGAATTGCATGTTGGTGTCACCATGAAGCATCCATTTTCAAATTTAAATTTGCAGTGGATGACTGTTTTGTTATTTTGTTATTATGTGCCATTTTTAACACAAACATTATGATTTGTTTGTTGTTATTTAAGTTGCCACAGTTTGTTGCTGAGAGTAAAATGTTTGACCTGCACTTGCTGGTAAGTGTTTATTTGTCCATTCAAGAAAAAATGTAAGGCTGTGATCAAATATCATAATTTTCATTAAAAATGTTATTATAAAAAGTTTGTCATTTAGTACATTTTTTTGTTTTGTTATTTCAGAGTTTGGAGCTCTTGTACAACATTGTTGAAGATAGTAAACAGAACATTGCCACCCTGGTGCAGCTACGTACCTCCCCATGTCTTGAGAGTCAAGAGGTAGATAATCAGGGGGACAAGATCAGTGCTATTGAGGCTCTTGTGCAATTGTTCCTCATTAGAGAGAAAGCTGCTAGAAATACAGATGAGATGACGTCAGGTTTATCAACTGAAGGTAACGCCTTAAACCCCTAATGGTGACTAAAATCTTATTTCTCCTAGCCTGCAGTGCAGGATTATTTTGGGTGGACGAAAGCTACTTGTATATGTTCATATTGTTGTAGCCGCCATCTTGGATTTTATGACGGAGGAAGACAGGGGAGGGTAGAAATAGTAACCCTTAACTCTTTTGGAGTTTCAACATGGCACTTCTGCAACCAAAAACATTTGTGCGCCTGAAGAAAACGCCTGCACTGCAGCCTATATTTCTCCTTAAAAATGCACCCCTTAATTAATCTAAAGGTCATGAGAGAAAAGGAAAATAATATTCACAGAGTTGTTGATTGTTAATCAATTCTTCTCACTATTACCATAGAAACTGTATGAAGAACAGTATTACAATGTCTGTTGATATCAGGAATGGTTTAAAAGGTTTTTAAACCACTTTGGTGGGTTGAGTACTGACCTGTGATGACAACAGGTCTGACATTTTATAGAAAAGTTTTTTATATCACAGAAAATAAAGTCTACAATACTGGCTTAGTGCTCAGGTTTCTGAACAGATGGAGTAAATTGTTTGACTTTTTTTCCTTGTTTGACTTAAACTGATTCCTGGAGTGTGTTTCATCTACTAATCAACTGGTCTTTTTTTATTGATTAGAGGAGAGCAGTCAAGACTCCCTGAAACAGACCAAAGATGGGGGTTGGATTTGTGGAGAAGACATTGATGTTTCTGTAGACGAAGGAAGCAAAAACGACACTGAAGTACAAGAAGAAGTGCTGCCACTTGAAGTGCAGCTTGGTAAAGGTAAGGGCTGAGTTTGTGGTGCCAGTATTCTGTTTTATTGATGGTTTCTTGTTGTCGCAGATGGTGCAATCACAAAATGATATACTTGTGATATTTTTAAAATACCACACAGTGTAGGGCTCAAAAACAAACTTAGATTTCAGCTCTTACATTTTGTAATTCATTGTTTCCATTTCATGAGAGATTTATTCTGACTGGTCAGAATTTTTTTTTTCTGTGCAGCTCTACAAAAAGCTGGTGAGCACATGGAAGACAGCGTTGTGGCTGCATATGTCTCACTTCTCCTTGGTTGCATATTACAAGATAATGAGGTGAGGCTGTGGTTATTAATCAATAAAAATCAAAATAAAATCTTAACATTGATATAACATATGTTGCTCTTGTTTGATGATACCACTAGTTTGAGAATGTCCTTGCGGTTATGCTCAATTTAATTTTTCTTTGTTTCCACCATTATCATACTTAACTAAAAAACAAGGAAAATAACTTAACCAAGGATAAAAGAGTACTGAACCACTCATCTAACACACCATAGCTACTGATATAGTAAAGAAAAACTAAAACTAAAATTCTTAAAATTTGTCACAGGCAAACCAAAGCTTTATCCGTGGTCTGTTGCCCGATGGAGATTTTTCCTTGCTTGTTATTGTTTTAAGAAAATTTCTCCGCTTCATTAAACTCACAGTGAGTACTATTTTATTATGTTGCATTTACTTGATTTCTGTGAACTGTTATTTAAGGGGGCTCAAAATCATGGCTGGTTAACAGACAACGTCTAGCCAGAATGGGGTCTTGACCAGCCAACAACTCTGCTCGCCAGTCATGTTGGCGGTTCACACAGACTCTTATGTCGTGGACAAACAGCCAAATCCTCACCTGCAAATTTTAGATTTTGTCTCTTTGTAAAAATAGAATCATGTTCACTAACAGAAAATTACAGAAGGATTAGCTCACTTTTTTTCCAAGTTTTGACTAGTCAGAAAATAAGATTTGACCAAGCAAACATTTTTTTGGCCGGTCATCGTGTCGGGCCACTGTCCAAAATTTATTTTGAGCCCTGACTGAGGTAATCCAAATTCCTGTGTTTCTTACTACTTATGGTGCATGAGGTCTTGCTGCTTATTTCAGTCTGTAAGAAGTAACATTATCATAACCTTAACTCACCAGGACTTTTTATGTTTTGCGTCCTGCCAAGTCCCAAAAGTGGCTAACATCAATTTTCTCCCAACAATTTCAAAACATCATCAGGAGTAAAGGTTGGGAAAATTACATGTAACAGAATGATCACCAAAGGGAACATGCTTTGACCTCTTATCAAATTCTCTAGTTTTAAGGAAATGTGTCAGATCGGTCTGGAGAATTTGTATGTGGAGATTGGGGTTTGAAGGGTCAACTGTGTTACACAGTTTTATTGGGATTTTTTGTTAATGTTAATTCGGTGGAGTGCCTGTAAACTACCGGTAGCTTGAGCAGTTAACCCTTTAAGCCCCAAGATCCACATACAAATTCTCCAGACTGATCTCCATACATTTGTTTTAAGAATAGTTGAGAGAATTTGGTTTAAGATCATAGCATTCTCTCTTTGGTAATCAATTTAGTGATTCTCATGACCTTTACTCTTGATGATCTGCTTATGTTGTTAGGAGAAAATTGATGTTGGTCACTCTTTAGACTTGAAGGGTTAATTAATTTTACTTGTGTTTTTATGATGTTTTCAGAGCGGTACAAGTGGACATGCCATTGAGAAAATTGTTAAAGTCTTGGAAAGTTGCCGATGAGAACTGAAGAGCCATGCAGAAGAACAAGAAACTTACAGTTTAAGCTTAGTGATAATAATTATTGATATTATAAGTATTACACTGTGTGTTTATACTGTACATATTTGATATTATTTGTTTCATAACTGGAATGTGGAAGTCTTTAACAAGTACAAAAGTGAAAACAGACTTTGCAAAAGTGAATGGGAATATTACAATTATGATAGTGTTGTATGTAGTTAACTTAATTATGTGACTAATTTGCCTGTGTCATTCATTGGCACCTCTTAAATTTTGGTTTAAATTTGAAACAGAGAACATACTTTGCAATCCTACAGAAGTTGATTGTGAATGGGATGTATTTAATAAGTTATAGATCGGAAACTGACTTTTTTCACAAATTTACAACAGCTTCATTACAATGATAATCCTGGTAAGTGGAGCAAAGCTCTAAAAAGAATGATATTTAACATAGTAGAAGTGTGACGTCCTATATTCACTTGGCAAACCATTGCTTTAAGGAATGACCAATTTAGTAATGTTATTAATGCTGGCCATTTTAAAATTTTTCATTAGTTATTCAGATCCCATTGTCTCAGACACAAAGTATAGACTTTGTTTTTACATTTTCAGTTATAGGGTTGAAAGTGGAAAAAGAGTTTATGACAATAATTTCACTTTCCTAAACCACACATTCATTATACCACGGTCGCGCTACTTAGATTCTACAATATATAACAATAATAATGTTATTATTATTATTATGATTATTATTATTATTAATGGAAGACCCTCTAACAACATAGGTGCTCAACATAGCACAACATAGGTGGATTTGATAAGGACTTTAAAAATTTTCAAACTGTTGTAAAATATTTCCTTTTATTACAGGGCTCAAATCTCCTTTTAATTCATAACAGGTAATTTGAGCCCTTAAATGGGGAAGGGAAAGATTTAACAACAGTTTAAAAATTTCAGAATTTACAAGGACTTGTATGGAAAACCACTCAAGCATGACTGGGTGGCAAGAGTTGTTTTTCTCATACAAATCCCTGTAATTTTTGGCGGCCTTTGCAATTGCCAGTTTTGAGATATGCAACAGAAAATTTACAGGTTACCTAATTTTAATATGCTCTTTCAGCTCATGCTAACAAAATTTTTCAAAAGCAAACTGTTTTCGTGTTTACCAAAAGTTGATCGGACAATCAACTGATGTAAAAGACCTGTTGTTAGCTGTTCTAAATCCAATGCATAAGTTTCAAGTTTTTAATAACATGTAAATATCTTTTAGCATTCAAAACCACTAAAAAATTGATGCAGCCCCCCCAAAATTTTTTGCATGAAAATATAAACTTTGACATGTTTGCATGTTATTGAATGGAATGCAAAACAATTTTTCTTCCACTAATGATTTCTTTTCACAACACTTTTAAGTACTTACTATAAGCCATGGAAATGAGAGCTGAAACTACCATGTTTGCATCATTGTTATTGAAAGGCAAAAAACCCAGCTTACTACTGTTTGTTACAATCATTTATTTCTGCAGTACTTAGTGTTAATAAAAATTCAATATCATCGTCAGTCTCTGTGTACATGTGGTCATCATTGCTTTAACTGATTTAATATTCATGACATCTTGATCATTCAGATCATTTTTCTTTTTCAGTGTGGATTACAGGAGTTCTCCTACCTTTGTGCCCCAGTCTCAATAAATTGTTTAAGACTATGATAAATGTAAACACTTCTACTTGTTTTTTTTTTTTTTGTATCTTTATTAAAAATAATGGGAAAAAAAACACACAAGAAGAAGTGGTTGCAGTAACTCTCTCTAAGGGAGTCAAAAAGTGACCAAAGAAAGGCAGACACAAACAGTTAGATTTCGTTTTAGTGGGGTTGGGGTGTCCATCTTTTAAAAGCATCCGTTTAGGAAGAGTTTGACTCTAGAACATAACATGCAAATTCTTCATGTTGTTCCCCATACACTGATGGCACCATTAAGAGGATTTTGTCATACAAGTCCAAACATTTTATCTGGTACTACTTTTAAAAGGCATTTTAACTGATTAGGTGTTATGAGGAGAATTTGGATGCTGATGAGACTCTGTGTGGGTATTTGCGACCAGGTTCAAGTTGTAACAAATGCTAAAGCAACAATTTAAATACTGTTCTTTTCAAAAACAAGTGAACTCTAAGGTTCAAAAGCCACCTTACGTTTTTCGCTGCTATCAATCATAATTACGATCACAAGCAACAAACCTTGAAACACAAACACAAATTGAATCAAAATGCACCAATCACAAACCATGACCTTTTGAACCCATTGAAGTAAACTTCTGTTTCCTAAGAGGTCTGCTATTAAAGATGATAGACAGAAGTGAAAAACGCAAACGTCAGTTGGCTTTTGAACTTCGGAATTTGCGTGTTTATGAAAAGCGCAGCAACAATGATTGCATTATGACAAATAGTTTTTTTCAACCTCCTTAACCATGGCAAGTCTTGCTTCTCCACATAAATGAAACATTTTTATAGGTCATTAGGGGGAATAAACCCATATTCTCTATTTGGCCTCTGCCAAAAAAATTCCTTAGATTTTTTTAATAGTCCATAGCAATCCTCCAAGCACCAGTGCACTGTGGGTTGGTTTCTCTACAGTACTCTTTTACTGAACTAGCTTTCAGCCAGGAGTTCCCCTCTCCTACCACCTCAAGCTGAGTCTCTTCATGACATATCTTATTATACAATACTCTGGGAATTGTTTGCAGATAGTCATTATAAAACAAATTCTTCTCATCAGCACCATGGGAAATATATAGAGAACAGTGTGGAGAAATTAAACCTGAATCCATCACAGATGTAATCTAACACAGGTCAGCAAAGTAGTGCATCCTTGTTCTGGACCCCAATAGACTCATTGACTTTTTGATAGTGTGTTTTGAATTTCCTCCAGACCTGATGGGCAAATTGAGAAAGGCTTTTTTAACAGGCCAATCATAGTTATTAGAGGAGACTGGTTATGAAGAGCAGCAAAAATCAATTATAAAAACAACAGTGCTACAGTTTACGCTGGAGGCTCCCTGAAGGTGCACAATCCTTTTGCTTGCTTTTGGCAAATAATTTTGCGATGGAATAAATTAAGGCAAAGTTTTTATTGGTCAATACGATCAAATTGATAGGAATGCTCTTGAATGTTGTGCACTTTCAGGTCCACAAAAACATATCAACAAAGGAATCTGACAGGTTTCATAACCAATCCACTCTATTAACTATGGGCCAAGTAAGGTGCATACTCAAATCTTCGTACACAGGTTGAGGCCCAGAACAATGCTTTTGGCTCTGTTTCACAAAAGGATTTAGCCAGAAGTTTAGTTCCCTCTGTACGTGGCACCAGCTAGAAGCATGTTAATGTTAGAGGATAAATGTTAGTTCAAAGGCAGTTCTCACTGAACTTGATAAACACCGTATATATCTTAGCAGAACCACGGTTGCTCCAATCAAGGCCAACCAAAGTGTGTTTTCGGGCGTACATGAATTTCAAGTGTTATTTTTTTCAGTTCCAAAATATTCGCACAGTATTCAGGCAAAGCGTTTAGATGAATATGTTTTAAAGCAACATGGATCATTATTTTCCTTTCTGCGACACGATTCGCTTGTTCATACATGCCGGCCTTGTTGCATGATAAACCATACAACACCCACCAATAAAACTCCACGAAGTCCGAACAACACCAGCGCAAGTATTAATGACACAGACATGATTGGTTCAACGACATATTGGCCAAGATTCCAGCGAGGAAATCCCGCTGTTAGTAATCGATTGTTTAGTTGAGTAAATAAGCCCCCTTCTTGCCCATTTGGATTTTGCTGATCATGTGTTCCATACGTCCATTGCTGTTGTTGTGATTGCCCTTGTTGTCTTTCTTGCCTCCTTCCCCGATTTCTATATTCCTGGGCCCGAGGGTCACTATCAGCTACGATTTCTCCATTTATTATCGTAACCATCACCGCGTTTTTGGTCTTTTTGAGAAATCGTCAATGGTAAAAATCTAAAATGGCGACGAAACAGAGGAAGACTGGAAAGAAGGATAGAAGGTCTGAGGTCATGTATTGTGAAACGAAATGTCTACGCGTTGGAAACCACAGGAATCCCAAACTTACGCAACCTGCCGCACTGCTAATACGGCGGACAAAAAGGAGCACATATTTCGAACGATCGATATTGCAACTTATTGATCCGTTGGTTTTCTACTGGTAAGAGACATAGAAAGTCCCCCAAAATCTTCATTTTTCAAAAAATATTAAATTGTAAATTCTAACTAGTTAAAATCTGGCTGAATTTTTCAAAAGGCTGCTGCACACATTTTCTGATAATAGTTCAGAAATTATCATATCTCAAAGAAGCCCTCCCAAAAATAGCAGTGTAATCATTGCTTTCGTTTTTCTTCGTTCTCTCCCTCCTTTCCTGGCGTGATTTTTATACTCGTTGACCCTAAAAAAATCCCATTTTGACCCTTACATCATCCTGATAGTCTGGTCAACTGCAGGTTATCATTTCCATGTGGTTTGAATATCCAATGAGAAAAAGTTACACTTCTTCTCAACACCTTAACTCTAATCTTAAATTCAAAAAAGGTCGTCAAACAAAAATTTCAAAACCCCAAAAGACACCTTTTGACTAACAAATACTTGAAAATGTCAACTCCAGCCTTGCCTTCATCTATTTTTGTTAAATGGGCTATTCCTCTTCCATCACCTCAACTACAATGTTTCAGTACAAAAACATTTGTCACAGTCAAACATTATGTCCTTAATATTTGTTTATTTTTCACGTAAAAATACTAACACAAGCCTTTACGAAACTATGTTTTTTAAACATAATGAAACAATATATCTTAATCAAATAAAATTAGTCATAAAATAACACAGATTTAATAAGGTATTAACATAATAAAAAAATCTTTTCAGTATATTACATTTTCGTAATGAGAATTAATAATATAGAGCTACCTAAAATGTGACTTTTTCTTAAATTTGCTTTAAAAATTATTAAAAGTTATTAACAATTTTCTAAACGACAACAGTACCTTGTGATCAGTATGAAGTTAATATAGAGGACATTACATGGCCGCGTGGGGATACAAATTTTATCTTCGAGTGCTGAAAGTATCTCTCACGAGTGAGCGAAGCAAACAAGTGAGAGAGACTTTCAGCACAACAAGATAAAATTCGTATCCCCAAGCAGCCATGTAATGTTCTGTTTATTTTATAGATACTGGTGAAATTCCTACATAAAACACAACTTTTTTAAAAATTCATTTTTGAAACAGCAAAATAGTGCAATTAAAGTTGTCATCCATCGTAAAATACCTGTCACAAAAATGTTATGAAACTCAGATATAAAGATATAATGGAACCAGCCGCGCGCCTGGGCGATGAGCAGGAAGCTCTCTTCTACTTAGCTAATCATGTAAGTAACCATGGCGACAACAATATCCTCACACGTGAAAGATAATAAAAAAAAAGAAAAATAGTATCTTCACTGCGCGCGATGAAGATGATTTTTTAGTAAAAGGAAAAAATCTTTTATTTCATCAGTATTTATATAATAAAATGATTTACATACTACTAATCACTGGTAGAGATAATCAGATCAATATAATTTCTCATGTACAGCCCTCCTAGCAACAATATTATGTTACTATGACACCTGCCTTTGTTGCTTCATATATACTTACTAAGACATCCTTTCTAAAGGTCTAGACCAAATTAAGAATAATTATTATTACTTAGATCAAACACATTCACAGCAAAATCCAGTGGTAAATCCAGACCTTTATGTAAGTGAAGGGCCTGCTAAGTCAGATCCTAAGAAAGGGTTCTCACAAACAAAAATAATTTTTCTCAGCCCTGCAGGCCTTTGTTTGCCTTAAAAGTATGGTAGGAGCCTCGGCGCCCTGTGTACACAGATCCACCACAGCAGACAATCAAAACAGCAATATAGCAAGCTGACAAAGAGGGCAAACCCGCAACTATTGCCCTTAATTTAGTACTTTTGAGTCAGCCGGGAACTTAAAACTACCAAAACTAAACTGGCAATAATAATGCTTCGAAAATTTTAGCAGCAAAACAAAAACATTACCATAACATAATTACCCTGGCCCTAAAGGTTCTCTTTCTTCTTTCTTCATACTTAACAAGCTCAAAGCCACTTTGTGGCAAACAAGTTAGAAAAGAGAAATAGAAACACAAACCTTCTGGGACCAAGGTATAGCATGATGGCTAGTTTGGACTTTGCTTTGTTAAAGACTGTTTGTCATGTTAGAGATGTGACCATCTTATAGACAGTTTTAAAAAACTCACAAAAAGCAAATAAAAATGACTAGAACAAGCCAACTTTGTTAAAGCAATGTCCACCTCAGAACGGAACCTCAGGCACCCATCCGATTGGACATGGGGTGTGGTGTTTACTTTGTGAAAACTGAGGCTGTTCCACAAAAGAACTAAAAAATTAAGACTAGCCTTGTTTTGGCAATTACTGAATATTATTTGTGCCTGACAACATTCATTTTTAAAATAATAAATATTTTGTGTGAAAATTTGGATTGTCACTGAAACAAATGACACTTACAGTTTCACATCAGTCTTCCCTGTGTTGGACAAACTGGTACAAGCTATGTCAAATGAATGCCAGTTGTTACAATCAGTAAAAATCCACTATATATCGTTCTTCCTGATAATTTTGTGGTCAGACATTCCAACACACCTTACGTAACTATAGGGAGCCTCACAGTTTTAGTAACTGCCTTGTACTCTCCTAAGAAAAGTGAACTTGTGAGTTCTGGTCAAAGGAAAAAAAAATAAGGAATAACATTACTGACAATGTATGTAAGTTGCTTTTTGGAAATAAGGGGTAAGGCCAATCATAAAAATGCTGTAAAAAAAACATCTTACAGTGTTAAGTCATCTTCCTCTCGTCACTGAAATATAGGCAGACTAACTTGATAATGCCCTTTGGACCAGTTCTATTATCATAAATACTACGAATACTATGTGGTTCTGAAATGAAAACTGGATTTCAGAGAATAATGGAAAATCTCAAATGAAAAGGAGCTCACCTTAGCAAGACCACTTCAAGGGTGATTTTGTGCCTAAAATTATTTACTTATTTTGGCAACTTTCAAGTCTCCCAATTTTCATTCCTTTAATGTTGGAATGTCTGTAATGGTCAAACACAAAGCTCTTTCATATGAGTATTAATCCACTGCTTACTATTTTAAACATCTAAATCCTGTGCCCAGCACAGCCTCATAAAATAAAAACTTGCAGGTTTTTAGTTGTATTTCAGAGCTCATCATTTCGTATAAATCTGTTTCCTTCAGAGTGCTTGCCAAAGTAGATGTATCTGCAGCGTCCAAAGGTACCTTTGTGGTCTCCAGGAGCCATGGTGTTGCTCGGTAGCGGGCTGTAGGGTGATTTTTCTTCTGTGCTCTCAAGCATTTGAGAAGTCTGTTGATCCAAAAACAAAACACTATAATCTAATCTGCATTGAAATGATCAAGGTTGCCTGGTGCCTAGTTTCACTGTTAATAACTTCAAGATTTGTAAAGGATTTAATTTATGATGTTTATATGTCTAATTTTATTTTTTATGAATTGTTTATATTTCCATTTAATGACTTTTGACCTTAATTTACTATTCGCCAACTACAGTTTGACAGTTGAAATATACACTGTACTGTTTATTTAATATGCTGTACAAGATCGTTCTTATGCTGCACTGTGTGATTCTTCTGTAAAAAAACAGTTCTTTACCGACAGAACTGCTAGTCATTCTTTACAATGTGGGTTGATCTACTTTTCAGCCTTTGTCTAGTTACAGGTCAAATTTAATGTCAGGTTAATTATGTCTTAGCCTAGATTAATTCTCAATTTCCCTTGTCCTCAAACCCTAGTCAGAAGACAAAGAATTTGAGAATTATTCTAGGTTAAAAAATTTTTAACCTGTAATTAAATATGAGTCTGTGAAACATCTATAAATCAAGAATTAAAATACATAATCGAGCATCTTCACTGACCATCTCATTGGCTGAAGGAGCCACAATCTTCATGTAAGATCCTACTCTTTGAGCTTCCTCTCTCTCCTTACTTCTAACAGGCCTTGAGTCAAGAAATGTTAAGTTCGGAAGGCGGTAAAGGACATAATATCTGTCAGTAAACAAAAAATCAATGAGCAACATGCATTTAAATTCTGTTTGGCAAATATTGTTTATATCACAAGGGAGAGTGTGATCTGGGTGGTAGGATCTGATCGAAAAAAAAAAAACTTGACAGCTGCAGCACTAAGGTCAGGAATTTTGTCAGCTGGCATGAACAGAAGGAACTTCTATAAAGGGAACAGAAGAATAAACTTTCACGATAAAAACATGTACACAGTCTAAATTTAGTACATATGGAGGGTAAGGACGACTATGTTAACATTTTTAAATTTCCTGAAAAGTTTTGTTATACGACAAAAATGTAATAATTGCTGCAATCTGTGACATCAATGAAACCCCACAAAATGTGGAAAGATACTACTGGTACTAGAGCAGGAAGAAGTTTCAAGGAGTCATTTAGGGCCTTGGAAGAAAATTCTAACATTTCAAGAATCCAGCAATTCCAGGAGAATTACAAGCTTTTCTGCAATGTATACCAAATCAGAAAGATACCTGTAACGCTGATAGTCCTCCTCATCTCTGTGAAGTGATGACAACTCATTTGGACAGGCCTGGTTACTTAACAGACTGAGGTATTTAAGAGAAGGCAAGTTGTGAGCGATCTTATCCAACAGAACCTCTAGATTGGCTATGTAGTGATATTAAGGACAATATTATCCATCTGTCTTACTTAATAAGGCCTTCCAAGATACATTAAAATGGATTAAAATAATCAACAAAATATAAACTTTCTGGAACAAGCTAAATGTGAATCCTAAAATAAAGCAATGCCTTTAATCAGTTGACGTAAAGTCATAATATATAATATGGGTAGTGTCTCCAAGATCATTTCAGTTCTACTTCTGAAACAATCACGTAGGTGTTTTCATCTATGAAATTCCCTCTGAGTGCCTTGGTTTTGCTGTAAGTTACTGCAGTGTAAACACAAGAAAATTACTGATAAAAAGTGAATTAGGCTGAGGAAGGGTTGGTAAGAAGTCGACTCAAACTTGAAAAAATGAGGCAGAAGAGTTCAAGTTTGAGAGAGTTGTGTGGGAACAATCAATCCAAAACTACTGATTATGGTTTGCTAACACCTTGAACACAGCATTATTCAAAGGTCATTTTGAGCATATAAACCTTCATATTCTAGCTTACGCAAAAACTTGGAAGAACTGTTACGGCACAGATTGCCCCGTTAAGACTAAAAATTGAAAAGGATATTCTATTCTTGTTTAATGTGAGAGTGTGAAGTTTGGTCAACTGAGGAATTTCCACATCATCCCCCAGTTGATTGTTGTCAAGAATAAGTTCTTCCAGATTTTCAAAACCCTGGAGGCCTTTGAGAGATCTGAAAAGGAAATAAAAACATCACAACTAATAATATTAATCAATACAAATTATCTTATAACTATTTAAAGAAAAGAATAAAAGAACTAGACAGAAGTAGTTTTATTATCACAAGTATGCTATCATAGGCATACAGTGGACAAATGCACCAATCATAAACTATACTACACTTGAGATTTCAACATAGTTCAGATTACCTTTTTTAAACAAATTTACATAAAAATCATTTACATACTTCTAGTTAAATATTGTAAGAACATCAGTCTTTGGTATTTTATAAGCAGGTGATCTTGGCTTATCTTCCCCCCTTCTCATAATCTAAGGAATATGTTTAAACATAGGCCTTAACTTTGCAAGAGACTTGATTATAACAGAGGTCTTAATTGATAGGGAAAATTACACTCATCCAATTATATCAGGGCTCAAAATAACGGCCGGTCAACAGACAATGTCCGAACTTTATGTAAAAATAAGTTTCTATAACCACCTCAGCTGATTATAGCTCAAGTCTAATATCTTGACCACTTTTCCATATTTACTTCCAATAATTCCTGGTATACTCTCAGCTTCTTGTCCAACAAAAGATAACTGAAAATGAACAAAAAGATTAATGCTGTGCATAAATACAACCCCATTGACTTACAAATTTGTTTATATCATGTGTTATAAAATGCATTGTATAGAAAACACAACATATGGCAGACAAGGTAGCAATTGTGGTTAGACACATTGCCAATAAATGGGTGTTCAGAGGGTACCAGAGAAAACTGTGGGAGCACAAGCGAGTGTGGAATGTAACCATGACAACCCTGTGAATGGCAACCACCACACACTGTAACACGGGAGAGTTTTCAGATAATTAACAAAACATATCCCTGAAGAGGGGAGGGCTGGGAGAAAAAAGGGCTTTAACAAATGCATATGAAAGAAAAAATGAGTGAAATTATTTTACCTAAAGACTATAAAAAGCCCTAAGACTACCCCACATATGATAAGTGATGGATCAGCATCGTCTTGTGTTTAACCTCCTTTTAGTTACATTCAGCCCCATAATATTATAAGTCAAACCTTGAACTACCAGTCAGGATATAGCTTATAAAGAGGCTGTTAAGAAACTGTATTTTAAAAATAACTATCACATTGTGCTCATCTTTTAAAAGAAAAAATGTACATGCAACAAATCCATGCTTTCTGATTGGCTAAAAAGTTTGTTGGGTAGCTACGGTAACATATGGATTAAATATGTTGGGAAAATTCCAGGTAATGGAGGATTTACCATCCCAGATTTGCTGTCTATTAAAAACACAGTCATAGTCAATTACAGGGACAAAAGAGGAAAATCTAGAGAAGAATTTCTATTTTCTAAATGTGTCTCAGATTTCTGCCATGATGGATAGACAACTCAGATTTTTATTACTGGGAAGTGGGTGATTGGTCAATGATGATTTTAACTTGGTACCAATCCTCTACTCCATGACTTGGTTTCAATCAACCCCTTTATAAATCAAAATAGTACCCATGACAGGCTCTACGGTTTTTCCCACATACTTACCAAATGTTTGATACATGGTAATTATTGCAATATTATATATCAATTTCTAACATGTCATAATCAGTTGCGAGTATTTGCACTTCCTTTTATTCTTTTGCTGACTTATACGATGAAAGCAATCACCTTGTGTTGCAAATGTTACTTTCATGAGAACTGATATTCAACAATTATTATTAAATATCAGTTCTCATGAAAATAACATTTGCAACACAAGGTGATTGCTTTTGGTTCATTTCCTGAAGTTATGGCCATATCTCTTTCAATTTATTTTGTTCATGAACAGAAGTATTATTTAGTTTTAATAATAGATACAATCTTAAAAGCGTAACTTGTACATTTATAGGGTGTAGTCATGCAGTAAAAACATTACATTTCACAAACACTGCCATTGGAATTTTAATTTAGCTTAAGACCTCAGCAAGCTAAGAACATGTGATCAATCAAAGAATTATGAGTCCAAATAGCAATATCATAGTTGAAAAAAGTCTCCACAAAGAAATACCAAGAAAAGTTTTTTTAAAATTGCCCTTTTTATAGAAAATCAAACGCAAATATTTCAGCTAACAAAATCATATGACACGTTCACGCTGTTTCACGCGGCCGCGAAACATACCAGCATGTGTATGTGCATAAAATTCAAGTAAAATACCATCAAATATTACAGTGTCATAGTTCATTTGAAAGCTATTCAAGCATCACAGTACATTGGTCTATTACCTGGGAGTCCTTAAGAACTACGGATACTTCAGTGGAGTCCATCGTGGCTGAAAACTTTATCACTACAACCGAACTACACGAACAAATCACCACACATCGCCATGGCCTCAGGTTTTGGACTGCAACAGTAATTTGTTATCAGGCTTCTCGCTTTGCTCTGCAGGGACGGGTAGGAGGGAGCCCTGGGAAAGAGGTTGCACAAACGGGAAGTCATTGAAGTCGGGGGTGGGGTTGGGTTTGGTTGGGTGGGGTGGGCAGAGGCAAGCATGGACGTCATGGGAGATGTCATGAGACCATAGTCTCATATCAAGAAAAGCTCAGGGGTCAAGAATGGTGCGGTTTCCGGTCCGAAATCCATACGCCTAATTTTAATTATAAGTCGTAATTAATTGAACAAGTGCAAAGCTAGATTTAACTTTCAGCAGGAGCTGATATAGCCTGCTATACAGCCGTTTTTAGTGTCGTCACGCAACGCTCCTCCCCTGGGGAGGAGCGTTGCGTGACGACACTAAAAACGGCTGTGTAGCAGACTAGAGCTGACAAGGCTCCTGCTTTCAGACCATACTTACACGACAAGAAGTTTCGGTTACCACTTTTTCAAATAATGGATGTAGAAAAATTGTGTAATAAATTGTGCAAACCAAAACAACTTCCCGCTAAGGACTATGTACTCTTTACGTCACTACTATAGAGTACAAAGCCCCAATCCTCAACATATGTCCTATGTGTGGGAATGCAAGACAATCTTGAGTTGTGGATTCCAAGCCGTGGATTCCGGATTCCAGGTATTAGATTCCTTTGTCTGTGAAATCTGGATCCTGAATTCCAATCGTTAGTGGCATTCCGGATTCCTTGTGCTGTATTCCAGGTTCCAAAGTCCAGGATTCAGGATTCCACAAGCAAAAATTTCCAGGATTCCGGAGATTGGAGATGAAGAAAGGGCGGGGGGTGCGGGAGGGGGGGGTGGGTACGACGTGGCCATGTACACTGTTGTGAAAGAAGGGCAGACCTTTACAATACAAAAATGCGATTTTAATATAGAAATGTTTTATTTTATAGTTAACAGGAACAGATACGCTTGCTTTAAAAAATAATAGCCCGCCATAAAGTGGACATTTTGTCCACTATAAACATAAAAAACACAATTATATCACAGGGTTATATTACAGTATTATACATGCGGTAACTCGTCAGAGGCAAACACTTGAGTTTTGTAAATACCAACAATATAATTGGGAATTAGAGAATCTTTATTGTTCGGCTTTCGCTGACATATCGTTCACCGCCAGAAATAATTAGTGATACTTTTACTGACTTCCCAGTAATTTTGTTGTATTTCACTTCGTAGAAAAATAAAATGAATAAATAAATAAATAAAAAGTGACCTTGACTTCTCTAGTTCATGACAGTAAGACCGAGTAAAACTACAAATTCTAGGAGTTTGTTATGGTCTACGTTTCAATATTGCTGAACTAAAACATGTATTGATTGAAATTTTATTTTCCCTAAATTTTGCGTATGGTAATGAGTAATGGTAAAAAGGAAAATAGAATTTAAACCAGGGATTATAAGATTAAAACTCAACATATGCAGAATAATACTCCAATAATAATTTTGACAGCAAATGTCCTATATTTATGTTGCAAATTTTCTTTTCGTCTAAAAAGGGTCACCAGTTTGATAGCGCTCGTTTCCAACACAACAATTGGTAGATTTAACAAAGACAACAACTATTACGGACGGTGCGTATAACAGAATTTACAGTGTAAAAGACTGAAAATTGAACCCGGAAGAAGTGTTCAGTGCCTTGCGCGCCCTCCCGTATTCTCATTCAGGTTGCGTTCTCTGTTAAATCTGCTTTCCACGCGCCTCGCAATTGATGGATTTCCAATCCTATGTGCTCAAAATCGCAAATAATTGAATATATTTCCTTTACTACAAAAAGATAAAATTTTGTAAAATGTAGGAACTCAATCTTATCAGAAGCCGCTGTATCCTAAGCAACCGAGGTCTTTTCAAAAAGTAAATAGTTACATCAATGACCAAGTACTAGCTATTTACAAACCTCTTCATTTTTTTTCAATAAAGTATCCTTATAAATAATCCTTATTCGTTATGAGCAAGAATATAAACAGCACATCGAAAGCGAAACTTAGAAACGTCGCGTGACGAACTACAACATTTCCAGCTTCCACTTTACGTGACCTAAGTTGTTTGGAAAGTTTCGTACCACACTTTGCAGTGCCACACGTAATAGCAGCGTCACAGTACACGTTGACACTACTGGACTAAAGACACTGTAAAGAAACGTAGGGATAAGTATGCTTTATGAAACATTCCGTCATGGTTTACTTTAGCGGGTAAGTTATTCTTGAGGAGCAGCAGCAGGTTCTTGTTCTTGTGCAGGTGGTGGATCATCAGACGGTTCTTGCTGTATTTGTTGTTGTTCAACTGCTTCGCTCTCTTCCTTATTTTGTTCAGGTGCTGCCTCTGCAGTTGAAAAAAAGATATATTAAACTTACACCTTAAAGAAATAAGGTCAATATAATGGCAAAGTAAGCGCTAATAAGGCAGTAGAAACATGGACGTGGATCAAAATAAACGCTTTTCCTTATTTTCACACAAACACATGATTATTCGTCATAACACCAAAATGAGACACTTTAATACAAATCCATGCCTACGACATGAACGCCCCTCTATCACCCTCCTTAGCGCCCCAATCACACTCCTGTCCCGCAGCCTCATCATTCTGTTGGTACATTTGCTAAACAGCCAGCAACAAGACCTTTTCTAAACACGCTTGTTAGCTCTCACAGCTGGGAGGGAGTAACGTAAACGGTCGATAATGGATGGTCTTAACTTGCTAGTGATAGCCAATTGAAAATGAAATTTGATATTGATAATCAGGCCGGAAACTATTGGAAAGTGTCAGTAAAAATAGCCAGAACGGCTCTCTTTCCGTTCGACCATTTTTATGTTTATGTGTGGACCTTTCAAAACTCCTATCAGGCTTGTTATGGGTACTGGAAAGGATCGAATAGAAAAAGTCAACAAATTCACAAATAAGTAGATTAAGCGGTCCTATTCAGGGATAAGTTCACCCCAAGATTATGCTCAACCAGGCTCAACTCTGCTTTTACAGTTTAAAATTCACAAGCATTCACCATTTTCTTGTTCCTGCTGCTCCTCCTGCTGTTCCTCTTGTTGTTGTAATGGTGGTTGTTGTTCCTGTTCCGGTTGTTGTTGTTGTTCCTCTGCTGTCTGGTCTCCAGTTGGTTCATTTTCCTCTTCCTGAGCTACTGTCGTCGCTCCTGGTTCTCCTCTGCTCTCAGGACCACCATCTTCAGGTTTCTGCTCACTGACCGCTTCCTCAGCTACCTTTTCCTCATTCTTCTCTGCATCACCTACCGTCTCCTTTCCTTCTGCTGCTGTCGTTCCTTCTCCCTCCGTTTTCTTCGCTTCAACAGCAGCTGTTGGCTCGGCTTCGCCATCCTTCTTTGCATCACTTTCTCCCTCCTCGACAACAGGTGTAGTTTCTTCTTGGCTGACTTTTTCTGCTTCTTCTGTTTTGCTATCTAGATCTGTTGAGCGGTTTATACATAAAGCATGAGACAAGAAAGAGTGAAAGAGTAGCGTACTTTTTAGCAGATATTTGTTATGCGCTTGAATGTTCGACAGGGGTGGGGTTGGAGTCTTTGGCCATTTTGAGACCTTTCAAATAACCTGGAATCCGTAACCCGCGATTAGACGCTCAAGTTTTTCTTTCTTTCTTTAAGAAGAGAGGAAAGAAAGACATAATAGAGATGTAAGCCAAGGAGAGAGGGCATTATTGCAAGGTACCGGTATAGGCAGACACTAAGGTTGGATTTCAGACCACAAGGTTCGTTGCTAAGCTATGCCACAATAAACTTTGCTATACGCAGTTAAAACCATAATAACCCAGAGGAATATTGTGATTCGCTACTTTTCCATTCAGAGCCTGAATAAAAGCTAAGGATACTCTTAGATTCTGGTTCATACTGCACGAAAAGTGTTTTGCTCCGCTCCCGTTGTCACTATATTACAAACGTAAAAAGGACTTTTGAAACAGCACCTATCAACAAAGTGCCTGTTTTAGACCGGGAATAACGTCTTAAGGCCCGTTTACAGTGGAGGTGGGGGACCCTAGGTAGGTGAGGTAACCCGACTGTCCATATAATCTCTCATTTTGATTTGATCACGTTTACGATAGATCGACTGACCTTATGAGAGGATATAAGGTCAGGCGGGATACGGCCATCTACCTCCATGAACACGCTGAGAACTTAACAATCGCCAAAAATTCCAGCACAGCAACTGTTCCAGTCTAAGCCGAGAAAAGTTAGTCGGTGTTTTTCATTATTGAAAAGGTGTCGTAAAAGTTACACAAACAAGTGCAGAGTTACGTGAATTCCATGCAAAGGGAATTTTGTAAAGAGTATGCAAGCACCGCTTCATTGTTTGAGGCTTGTTTAAAGCTTTTCAAACCTCCGTTTTCTCAGGTTTACGCCAAGACGAAAACCTATTACGTATTTTACCTGATAATTCTTCTTAGGGGCTGCACCAGGCAAATAGGATAGAGTTACCATCAATAGGGATAAAATAACCTGCGATCATGCGATTTTGTTTTGTTTTGCCTGATCGCAGGTTGGGGATAAAATGTAAAGTCATGCAGGTACTATTTATAAAAGATTTTCTTCCCAGCGCAGCTTAACAATATTATTTCAACATACTTACTTCAACTTGTGCACTTAATTTCCGTGCATTTCATTACAAAAACGGTGAAAAACTAAAATATCCAAAATACCCCCCTTTTCTAATCATATCTGACATATAACTTCCTGTCTACCTTAACTTCCTCTTAACTTTATACAGGCACTTGATTCCACACATGAGGTCTTTCTGGAGTCAAGAAAATTAAAGAATCATGTCACAGATGTGACAATAGTGGAAAAGGGTTACATTTTAGAGGGGATGGGAGCGGATTAATTGCAAGACACTAGACTAAGAGTCTGAGGAGAATGAAGCAGTTGAGGAATCAACTGTTTTATTGACATATCTAACAACAAAATATTCAACCAACACTGTGGTACATGTAATATACTTTTTAATTGCAATATCCTGTCTTCTGCAAAGCTAAATAACAATATTATTTGATTTTTAATGAACCTTTTGAAGCAATTAAATTAATAAAGATCTGAACTTATATCTCACAACAAATAAATTATATAAATCCATAAATTTAAACTATTATTAGATTAATATTTAATAATGACATTTTTAATATAACTTTATGTTTACTGTGTGTGAGCTTTAACAAACTTAAACATGTAATTTTTGAAATATGCATACAGTTTCTGTAAATGTTGCTATTAATAAAGATCTTTGGATATTCTTGTCACATAAACTTGCCAGTAGGCATTTATATTAACTCTAAAGTCCTTCAAATTAATTTTGTTTAACATAAAAAAAGAGTTGTTCGTATCAAAATAAATGTCATTGTTCAATAACGAGTGACATCTTGGTGGTGTTTTAACATGAGGCATGCATCTGGCTAGACAGGGTTCGACTGTCCTTTTGCAACTGTGTCAACAAAATATGAAGAAAAAAGACATCTTAGTAACTAGAAAACACCCAGGTTCAACTGAGCCAACAAAGGGACCCTACCTCACTACATGTACATCATCATTACAAACATTATATTTTACACAACTTATTAGATGAAGGGAAATAGGGCAAGTGGGTACATCAAAATAATACTCTAATGCCTTAATTGTTTTCATAATATATGACCAAAATCAGAACAATCTTATAGAAACCACAGGGGTGGATCAACAAAATTTTAATAAGGGGGTCCAACCTAACCTAATACCATTCCAAGCTATTACCCATTCATTTCTACTACGCAAACTCTTGCTGCAATGATATGCAACATTCTACTCAGATAGTAGCATGAATTGTCTTGAAATATTCATGTGTTATGTAATCAAATAATTTTGTTCAAAGGTCAGACAAAGGTTCCATAGTTAGCAACATACTCATCACACCATTCTGTACATGGTACTAAAGTAATGAACAGAATTTGTTGCAAAAAGTCCATGACTCGTCTTAATTCTTTATTCAATTAACCAGTGATCAAGAAAAAAAACAAATAAATTGGATGTTGGTCATTGTTACAGACATAACAGTTTTAAGCAGTTAAAAGCAATGTTTGTCTCTTTGGTGTTACCAAAGCGACAAACCAGCAGAAAAGAAAAGTTCAATTTTAAGTCCAGAGGAAAACAAAAAATGTGTTGCAATTAAAGATACACTGAAAACAATTAAATTGACATTCAACACTTAAAAAATCACTTTAGTTTAACAACCAACTCTCCTAGAATTTTCTTAGAATTAATTATTTCATTATTAATGTAGTTTCTAGTATAATTTCCATTACTGAATTAGTAATAAATATTATAATAATAAATTGCAAGATTTTAAGTTATATCTGTTTATTCCTTTATGGTTATAGCCTTCTCAGACCAAGAGGAGGAAACAAATTATTAATGAACACTTTTATACATGTCAAATAAAATAATGTCTTACAGTTCAGTGAAGAGAGGTACTTTCAATCTGACAAAAAAACAACAAAACAAAACACTTCAAGTTAACAGTAAATGCAGTCAAATGTTTGAGAAGACTTTTAAAAAATGCCTTAAAACATTTACATGCTCAATATAAAAAATTTAATTATTTATCTCACTGTGTTGGCTTTAATTTTATAAACTGAGAGTTGTGCAAGCATTTTATTTTAAAGTAAATTATATATAATTTATTGTGTAATCTTGCTAAGGATTTTGCAAATACCATTCAACTTACGTAGTGAACATTAGGTCATGCTCCCCTCACACACTCTCTGTGAGTCCTCAAACTCTCTTTCACTCCTCCAAGTACTTGCACCATGTTTGGGAAACCAAATGACATACAAACTATTTCAATACACACTAATATTAGGTTTAGATTGGCTTTTGATTTGCTGTAAGCCCAAACTTCTCCCTGGCTGCTACTCATTTTGTCACTCTCAGGCCCAGTTCAGACGTTGTGCTTCTGCCGTGTCGAACTTAATTGTAATTTAGTTCGACTGTAGCACGGCAGGAAAACAACTTTGATTCATACGTCATGCCAGAGTAACAATTCTTCTCCCAACTCCCCGTGGGAACGCAATCTCGTCAAAATACATTAATATAATTTATGAATTTTGTTTAGCGCGGTAGAAGCACGACGTTTGAATCGCTGCCGTGCCAGAGCCGTGTAGCACGGCAGCGCTTGTCGAACTTAATTGCTTGCCGAACTTGATTGCTTGCCGAACTTAATTCAAAAATTTGATTCAGACGCTGTGCTTCTTCCGTGCTTTTGTCGAACTTAATTCCTGAATTTAGTTCGGCACAGCAGAAGCACAACGTCTGAACTGGGCCTCAAATTTCTATTCTATACTGTCAATTACATGTGGGGATGTCATGAGATGTTAAAAAAGTTCATGAATGATTATAATAAGTATTTTATAATTTATATAATAACAATAATAATTTAGTAAAAAATAATAATAATAATCTCCAGAGATGAAGCTCCTTGCTCATTACATTACATAGTTTTTGAGGAGATTGTCACTACTACTAAAAATGGCTTACCTTCATCACCCTCAGCAACAGGTGCAAGAGTGCCAGTTACTTCAGGAGGTATTGGTCTTGGTGTCTGATCAATAACAACCTCCTCACTCGCTGCCTTTTCATAAGCCTCCTGACGTGCAATGTTTTCTGCCTCCTCTTTCCTCAGTTGTTCTCTAATACGTTCTTCTTCTGCTTTTTCTATCTCTTTTTCAAGGGCTTCTTGCTTTTCAGCTTTCTACATGTAGAAAAAAGCAGAGTCAGAAAATTAAAGATTGGAAACAATTATTAAAATTTCTTAAGTGTTCTTCACATAATAACCAGATATGTTCTCAGGATAAGCCTTTCGAATCTACTAGGGTATTAAGCTTCTAACTACGGTAGGGTTCAATACTGGTTTATTTAACCTGAGAACAGATGTTTTGCATTGGTAGCTTCAAAACGACAACAGCATGCAGAAAGCCATATAAATTTGAGCTTTCAATTCTCATACTTAACCAATAAAAGCTTTAAACGGCACAATCACGTTTTTCGGTATAACAACACCAAACTAGGAGTGGAATAAACAGCTAAATTGACCAGGGAAAAAAACAGCCAAGGTGCAAGCACTGAGATAAAGATAGGGTTTGTTACTACCTTCTTGGCAACGTCTTGATTCTCAACGTACTTTCTTAGCCAGTGAGCAAGATATTCGATAGGATCAACGGGTCTTTTCTCCGCTATTTCTGCTAACCCCAAAGCTAACGCATTTCCTACGTGTTTCTTCAGATATTCGGAGTCCATTTGCTGTGGTTTTCACAGGCACCAAAGNCTAATCCAATACAGAATTGTAGTGATCCGGCTTTCGTATTCGGTTTCAGTGTGAAGTTTGGGCCAACATGTTTGCCGCTTTTCTCCAGCGATCGCCTACTCTTCGAGCTTCTGATCGATGCTTCGGAAACCTACAAAATCATCCTGTTTCCTGAAGATATACGCGTCCCTTTTGATTGCAAACAGCAAATAGCTACTAAACATTAAAAGCAGAAGACATCCCACGTAATTGTATTTAAAAAGAAGTCCGTAAAAAGTTATTTTAGGTGGAATCCGTGCTAAACACTCTGCAAGTTCACTGAAAGTCTTCATTTGCAATTTTTTGTTATCCTCCAACGCCTCGCTTTCATGACTAGGCACCAGTTTTTTCCCGCGTGTCCGCCATTTGTGAATACGGTGTATAAAAGCTTTAAACGGCACAATCACGTTTTTCGGTATAACAACACCAAACTAGGAGTGGAATAAACAGCTAAATTGACCAGGGAAAAAAACAGCCAAGGTGCAAGCACTGAGATAAAGATAGGGTTTGTTACTACCTTCTTGGCAACGTCTTGATTCTCAACGTACTTTCTTAGCCAGTGAGCAAGATATTCGATAGGATCAACGGGTCTTTTCTCCGCTATTTCTGCTAACCCCAAAGCTAACGCATTTCCTACGTGTTTCTTCAGATATTCGGAGTCCATTTGCTGTGGTTTTCACAGGCACCAAAGTAGGTTGCTTTGTCGATCGAGTTTCAAGTTTCAAGTACCTCCTGAGTTTCTCAAAGTTTCTATGGTTACGTAGTAATCCGCTGTACCAAACGCACGCATATACCGTTTGGAGCTTCTTTCAGCACTTCCGACTATTCTGGCATCAAACAGATATGAATTAATTTAGTTAAGTTATGGTTATTCGCCATTCTGTTGGATATCTTTATTCTGCTTTATTTTATAACAGTTAAGGAAAATAGAAAAATCAGTCAAAACTAAGAAAGCAAAAAATTACCCAAAGGACTTCTGCAAACAATGGAACAAAAAAACAGTCAAAAATCAGAATACAGCGCTCTCTCAATTACTCGCCACAACATGAGTGAGACGAAGCTACATTTTTTGTATGGTAAGAATATTCAACATGGTCACTTGGGAACTGAAGTTTCTCTGCGAGTTTTAAAAATTTTATATCTCCAAGTGGCCATGTAATTTTCTATATATAATCACCAATGAAAAAACAAGCCATTTCACATAGCAACTGTGGTCTTTTCAGGTGTGAAGATAACATGTTGTATTCATGCGCGACAATGTCATGTTTTAACAAAAAAGCTCACCTATTATTTCCTCATTGGTGTTTATATATTACAGAGTTAACACTAAATTACCATTGGTTTACGGTAAACTGCAGTTGTAATAGTTTCGATGTTTGTTGCATCAAAACATCCGGAATTGACTATTTTAGCATCGAGTGCATAAGAAAAAATAAGCCAGATCTTACACAAGCATTCCACTTAATACAACACAGCCCACCCTTGTACCCAGTGTCTTCGTTCCCGTTGACGAGCGGTCGGGATACTAGTATCAAGCCAGCATGTGCAGTAAGGGACGAAGACTTGTGACCTTAATTAAGTAGGCTTGATTACCACCCACTGTTCAGGAAATGATCCTGCACTCCTCATCTGAAAAGTCCAACTCTTCTCATGACGGACTAAGGAGAGAGGTGGAGATCGAGCCTGCAGGGCTTAGGTTTACTCTCACAAAACAACCTTACTATTCCCTAGTAAAGGAATCCCACACTGACTTACTGAAAGGAACAATAGTCATATACATAGATGTTTCAGGATACAGAAATCTTTATTTTTGGAGATTTGTTCGCCTCCAAGAACAGTGCTCTCCAACAAAAGTCACGATAAAGTAGATTTCCACGTTTTATTCCAATATAAACCACGATCTCTTAGTTTTACAACAAACACGTTCGCTTCCACTCAACTCTCTTTTTATCTCAATTGTCCTTTTTTCTTTTTTAACCCGCATCCGATCAGTTACACAAGGATTGATTTAAGAAAAAAACGCATAGTCGTTCGTGATTGGTTCGATTAATCACTAGGTTTATCTCCGGAAATGTCTGCGGAAATTACTAATAGAAAAACAACTTAATGATATCACGCAAAATAACAGCAGTCAATTACTCTCATTTTTCTGTCAGCTATTGTCAACATAACATAACTCTTAGACAATGTAAAGCTTACCGACATATTCACATATTTTAGTAAAGCTGTTTTAATATTATAAATAATTATTGGAGTGATATTCAAGAAATCTGACAATTTGTGACAAAAACAGAAACAAACTAAACAAAAAGAAAGTAATGAAATTAGAGTGTGATACTTTAAGTACTCCACAATCTGTTTCACAGGGTTGATAAAATCACCCTATGGGAACAGTTCAGGTAAACCAAGGCTATCCATTAATTAATCAAACTATAACAACTCCCACACTCTTGTGTAGGAAATGCATTGAGGCAACAAATGAGAATTTCTACTTTGATATTAAGGTTATTTGTTAGTGCACGTACGAAAACAATAGAAAGGAGCCGACCTTACCATCATTCATTCATTCATATGCTGATGACATCATAGTAGCTTACTGGCTATTGGCCAGTAAGCAGAAAAACCACTATTTAGGGCTGAAATACTTAATTATTAAGATGTGAGTGGCCCAAAATCTCCATCATTGGAAGAAATTTGTAACAAAATTTCTGCATATAATGTATTTTGAAATTTGGTCAATAGAAGGTTATGACCCTACCCTAAAAATTATAAAATAAATAAGCACATTTCCTTCATAGTTTCTATTTTCATTTCATTTGCTATCATTTGCAAGCCTGATTCATTCTGATATCATTAAATAGCAAGCCAAAAATAAAAACGCACAGGTAAAGCAAAATTCCACCCTGTTTGAGTGGTGGAGAATGTCTGAAAGCTGGTAAATTTCAGCCTGATCTAAGGTTCAATAATTTCCTAATCTTTCTGAAATTATTTGAGGTTACAACAGAGTTTCTACTGTTTATGATTCACCAATATTCCAAGTGGTTAAATAACTCAACATTAACTGCACATGGTAGCAACCTAAGGGAAAAAATGATTTTCATATAAAGTTAATAATATGATCTTAAGGAGGACTTTTCTAAAATGCTGTTGAGCCCTACATTCCTACATTGTACAAAAATAATATATATATTACACCAGCTCAATCTTGCTTTTCCTGTTTTGTCATAAATAGTTACACATAACAGTCATCTGTCCATTATAATAATAGGCACAAGATCCATAATATTACAATAAAAGATATTATCTACACAGTTACTTAGGCAAACTTTTTTGCATTCTTAAACTCCTGCATTCCTGCCAAGATTTTAATCTCAGCACCTCAGTGAACCCAAGGCTTGAGTTGACAAAATACTGTACAGTGTGATTTATGCAGAACTGTCCACCCAAACTTCACCCTTGTTCCACTGCAATTACTAATAAATTATTTTGTGAGCTTATTATAGCAATTAAGTGTGCAGACTGAGGCATGTTTTATGCCCATTCAAAATTCACATAAAAACCATGCATTTGGAAGTTATTATTGCTCTCTACTTTAAGTACTGTATATTCTTACATACATCCCTTAAATAGACAAAGAATAGAATATAATACAACCTCAACCATTAAATGTTTTTGGTAACACATCCTTTATAACCCTCCACTTACAGCCCCACCCACAAACCTTTATCTCCTCCTTACCTGCATGTCCCACTAGTGAGATCTACTCTAACTATATACAAACTTCTGTCTAAAACTAGCTAATTATATTTAATTCGCATATTTTTTAACAGGCTCAGTTCCTTTGAAATCTGCTGTGTGCGATGCTTTCCCCACAATCTGAGGGGAATAACTATCGCCGTGACATTGTCCTCTGAACCATACTGCAGCGCACACGATGTTAGTACATTTGCAGCATACTCAGCATCAGGACAGTTCCGTACAATTTCTGTTATCTCCTTATCAGACATGACATGTGAAATGCCATCAGTATGTAGAACAATAAAAGAATCAGTTTGATGATTAAGCTTCAGCTGTGTTATCTCCGGGGTTGCTATCACACCATAAGGCTTTAGATGAAAGTCTCCAATTGAGCGAGTCATAGCAAGTTTTCCATTAACCATTGCATCAAATCCCCAATCAATCCAGCCATTTAATGATGTTATTCTTTGCAGTTCATCCTCTCTTGTGGGGTGGTGAGCATTTGTTAATGAAACAGCATCACCCAGTCGGCAAATTAAAGCACTACTGTCACCAACACTGGCCACAGTTAGATCTGTGCCATCTCGTAGGAGTGCTACTGTTGCTGTTGTACCGCAGTGCTGTACATTTTCTCTGTCACCTAAAACAATAATTAAAAACTGTCTAATTAGAAAACACAATAAACTTATCTAAATGTTTTATTATTATTATTATTATTATTATTATTATTATTATATTATTACTATTATTATTATTATTACCATTCACTGACTGGAGTATAACAATACCATTCATGCTTTGTGAAATAATTAATGCAAATTTCAAAAATTCACATTTTAATTTCAGTAAACGTTAATATTATATTTACATGCCATTTATTAAGTGCAACATTAATTTGCATTATTTTGGCCCCAAATTCTCTATACAATTTGAAATACTTGCCATCTAAGAAAGAGGAGTATTTTACCTCAGGATGGAGATAATTTTTGATCACCAGAATCAGTGAAATGGTGAAGAACCATTAAAGATTTTTTTAACTTGACCCCATTTTGAGTAATATATCAAGCATGAGATGAAGTGTTTCATCACCAGATGAAACACTGAGAAGAGGGTTGAAAATACGACGCGCAGCGGAGTATTTCTGACGAACTTCGAAGTGTTTCATCTAGTGATGAAACACAGCTGTGCGGCATGCTTTATATTACTTCTCAAACAAAATGATTTTAGAAAGAGAAATTAAGGATTCAAAAAATAGCAGTTTTTCATCTGATTTCCAAACCCCCATTAAATATTATTTCCTTTGTATTTCTTTATGAATTATTAATGAGTTTGAGGAAAGTTTATGGAAAGTACCACATACAAAGTTGCCATTATGAATTATACACATGTAGGTTTAACGTTGTTCTGTTGTCTCAACAGTAGTTTTCGTTCTTTGTGAACACCCTGTTAATTTAATATTTTTGAAATGTTACCCTCTTTTTTGCGTTAATTTTCTTTATTTGAAAGTTGTTTTCTATTAAATTCACATCAATGTAAGTCGCTTTAATTTCCAATGCCTTAATTTCATGGAGCATTTATGTCCCACAATAAGGTAAGTTTTGTTAGTGGCAGATTAGACAATATAATTGACTGTTTGTAACCCTTGAACATCCCAAGCACAGTATTTTTAGTTGGGAAAGAATGCAGGAGTTTTTATTGTTGTTGAACAGTCCCTTGTTCAAACTAAGGCCTGATGTGCCTGAGTTTTTTTATTGCAAATCTGCTGTCTTTGTGTATAGGACATGACAACTGACGTTAGTCCTGTTGCATCCCCTGTCACCATCTTGAGTCATCGTGACCAATTCATTAAAGTAACTATGTTCCCACTCAATAAACAGCGGAAGACTCTAATATTGCTAATTCATGCGTAACAACAAAGCAAGAATGCTATAAAGTTGTATTAAGAACTGGAAACTCTGAAATAACTTATGTGGTGAGTCATGCAGACAAACAACTATGACATGTGAGAATAATATTATCTCGCGGGGATATGGCTCTTTTCCTTTTATTCTGTACTCAGGAACTTCGCGAGGTTCTGTCATACAAAATATTGCGACATAAAATTGGAGCGCCAGTTTTTCCGCTTCATTTGTCACATGAAATTTGGGAAAAATTTCTGACGTTCATCAACATACAGAACTTTCACATTAAATTTCCTTGAGTGGATGTGGTAAGAGCCTGTTGATGGTTTCAAGAGTTTGACACGATATGCACGTGCTCGATCGACTGGCTCGATCCAGGTTTTTCATAGTGTCAACTTTCAAAACATTCTGAGACGCACGCGTGTGATGAATTATCATTTCCTCGGAGGAAGAATAAACAGTCAAGGTCAGGATGTACGCAAAGGGAACAGACACTTAGCTAAGAAGTATTCATAGTTTTCGAAGTCAGTCAACGATAAAAAAATTGAGAAATATCACAGATTTATTGTTTCGCGTATAGACAGTTTCGATTTACTGACAATTCAACCCTTCAGTTGTTTATCACTGTTAAAAGCTTAGTTTCAATTAAAATCTTACCTCTTTCGGTTAGCCAGTGACAGTACTTTTCCAAATCCTCGTTGCATTTGGTAAAAGCTTTGATTAGTACCTTTTCCATGTCTTTATCGTAGCTGTAATAATGTCTGACACAACCATGAAGATGTTCGCTGACGAAATCCACAGCGAGCGACCCGCCATGACCATCAAAAACCGCAAAATAGTCCAAATCTGGTTCAAGTTCTACTAGTTGAAAGTTATCTTCATTTGCTGTTCTATAGCCTATAGACGTGCTTTTGCCAACAGTATCCACTGAAACGTTATGAAGAAACGATTTGGCTTCAGCATCATGCCACGCACCTAAATCATCAAAAGGATTCGAAGAAACATCGTCGCCTCCGATATCGCTCCAAAGTCTCTGAGTTGATGCGTTGTTTGTAGCTGATTCACTACTGAAATAACGCAAATGTCCACCTAAAATTGCAGCAAATCGAAGTTCATCTTTTCTTTGAACCACTCTAGATAGAGAACGTAGTCCTACCCGAGCAACGCTCGAGAATTTCCGCCAAAACATTGAAATTACTGGCTCCTTGGTAGTTGGTGTTTATGATGGAAATGTGTAGTGAAAGTACTCATTGTGACCGAAGCTTAGCTAAAGACTGTTTATGATTGGACGCGTCTGTGAAAAATCGTATTGTGATTGGTTGAAATATGGACAGCGCCCACTTCACGCCTTCAACGTGCAACATTTCGCGTGCGTCTGATGCAATCAAATACCACAGGCACACCAGGTAGAATTCGGAAGAAGGGTTAACTTTTTTCAGGGGCACCCAACGACGATTTCCTGGTAAATATGTTGAAAGCACTTCTTAGGCTATACAGAGTAGTTTTAGAACTCTAGAAATGCATTCTAAGCGGTGCTATTAAAATTTGTATCTCTTCGGTCTCCAAGGGGACTTTGAGTCTTCGAAATTACAAGCGCTTAAAAATTATTTGCCCGAAAATTTTTGACACAATTTTTCGCTTTACGAAAGCTTCAGACATAAATATAAACATCATGGAGATTGTGTGATGAGGTTTAAAAAGAATTCTGTCGTGCCGTTTTAAAGATACAAAGAAAAACGCTAAAAGTCTACCGCAAAATTTAGAATAAAGTTGCACTTAGAAAGGTGGTGAGAAAACAGGTTAGTTTTCAGGATCGCAGGATAGGAAATACACCGAAGTTGAGTTATTTAGAACATTTTTAAAAAAATAATCCATCACGGCTATTGAAAATATAAGGTTTGAAATATATTATCGTTTTATCTGAATTTAAACATACAGAATTTTTTACTTCTCACGGAGGTTATTTGCTAAACACCACGCTTTAACTTCCTGATGTCGCATTTTCAGTAGCAGGTCTAAATCGCGCGAAATTCGGATTTAATCGATTTTAAAGTTTCTTGTTTATTTTTGTCATAGTGATATCGATTTTACTAGAAACTGCATTTTGACAAATTTCAATTCATAGTCAATCACTGGTGAAAATTTTGTGGCGATCGGATAAGCCTTTTAAGGCGATTGAAAAACATAGGTATGGTCTCGAGAAACTGTATCGAAACATATTACGTGATATCAAAACTCTATGACCCCGAGGCTTTAGGAGCGGGGCGTAAGGGGGTACGAATACCGCATGTGCTCTACAGCTAGAAATCTTTAAACGCTAACCCAATTAAAATTCAATCTAACTTGGAATGAGAAATATTCTTGCCGACTTCACAAATAAACAGCAATTAGCAAGGGTATTAAACAAACGTGCACTCGTCAGCTAGATGATAGAGTTCATCAAAAGATCACGACCTATAAACCTTACACAAGGGAATCAAGCTGCGTCTTAAAAATCATTCATACTCGAAGAATACCGTAAACTTGGGCCACGTCCACACGAATCCGGATATTTTTAAAACTGCATATATTTCTGAACGAATCGGCTTTTCCCCCATACGAAATCAGTCAATCCGAAACTGAGCATCTTTTTGAAACCGCTTTCCAGAGTAAGGCAACGTGCAAACGGGCGCAGTAACTCCCAACAATGTTGGGAGTTGTAAGCCAACAATGTTGCGTCTGTTTGCACGGGGCTAAAAGTTTGACCGGTTTCAAACTTTGCGCAACAACATCCAACACATTCAAGAGGGTGTGCAAACGGACGCAACATGTGACATCCAACAATGTTGGGAGTTGTTGGTCAACAATGTAGCGTCTGTTTGCACGCAGCCTAAGTGTACGCGAATCTGGGTTAGGGTTAAAAATGCGGTTTCAAAAGTGTCCGGATTCGTGGGAACGGGGCGTTGGTTGAAACAAAACAAAAATAACAATGGGTAACAAAGCGCTTTCTTATCGGAATCTTTTTAATCAAATGTTACTCAAACCTTATAGCTATATATGTCAATGGGATGAGAAAAGCACGCACTCTCGGTATAAAAATAAGCAATCAACGCTAGAATTGGTGTAGTTGTTATTCAAAGTAGCTTGTTGACTTCTTGATTTGCAATAGTTGCTGTGGCTCCTGTCCAAAAAATAATTTGCACTCCTCAAAAAATCCTTTGTAACGGCAGATAATATACAGGCACTGAAGCAAAACGTTTATATTTGGATCAAGGGCCTGTTTACATGGAGGTGGGGGCCCCCAGGTAGGTGAGGTAAACCGCTTAGGTGGGGTAACCTGCCTGTCCATATAATCTGTCATTTTTTAATTTGATCACGTTTACATGATAGGTGGGGTGACCCGCCACATGTTACCTCACCTATCTGGGGTCCCCCACCTCCACGTAAACTAAATGTTTTCTTTTTACCCTGCCGTATCGAGGGAATAATTTGATTGATAAGACTTTTGTCTTTACGGAACTGAAAGGCGATTTTTTCAAACTCTTGTCACCAACTCTTGCCACCCAAACATTTTCAGCGGCATGCCACATTTCCAAATCCAGATTTTTAGCTTGCAAGAATTTTTTTCTGGCTGATTAACTGTGCGAGAGTTTTTTCTAGTGCAGCCCTTTAAGAATTTTTTGGAGAAAATTTATTCATGCCCCTTTCCCTACTAGAGTGATTTTACTTAATCCGTAAAATAGGTAGTAGAATACTACGCACTATTATATAATAATTCCATTCTTTCGTTTACCTGTTGCTATTTTTAAGAAGTTGTTAGTATACAGGGTGTTTCAAAAGTTCGTTCCGATTTTTTATTCCCTTAAATTTCACTAATTATTAAAAAAAACCTTTTGTAAAACTTAGTATGTTATTCATTATTTATTTAACATTGAATAACTAAAATATTAGTAACCAGAATGTCTTCCTGTATGTTTTCTGACATTTTCTAAGCGGTGAGGTAGAGAATGTACGAGCTCCCAAGGCGTGTCCAAAGTCACATTCTTCCAGGCGAAGCGTAGTCACTGTCTTAGCTCGTGCAGTGTTTTGGGAGCTAGATCTTTGTATTTTGTCTCGTCTACGGTATGTGATGTGAACCCCCTAGAGACTATCTGGATTGAGTTTGCCGGCTGGTCCTCCTTTGGTATAAAGTTGGCAAATCTTTCTGACACCATGCTTGCATGAGGTGTGCACCGCCTTTTCCTCTTCAAGGCTGTCCAACTTTTTTTGGTAACTTATCCCCTTACCGTTGTGATCGAAACTTTGATCGATAATGTGAAGTTGAAATTTTTTTACCTCTCTGTTTTGCGGAATTATTAAGCGTATACTTACAGCTTTTTCGATAATATTTCTCACACAGTTTGTGAAAAAACGGCCATGTACTCCTTGGTTTGTCTTCTAAGGTCTTTACTTTTGATCACTTGTTCGGTCATCGTTCAGACTTCTTCAACAATTTGACAATTTTTTTTGGACTGAATGGCCAGAAGGCCATAAAAATAAATGCCTGAGCTCTAGCCCAAACAGTGCAGGCCTTCATTTTCATGAACAAGTAGAGAAAATGAAAGAAAATGATAAAAATACAAAATAGAAAACCTACAAAATGGGCAGGAAAAGAATGGCGGGAAAAACCTCGCGTACGTGTACATTTGGGGCAAAAATTTAAAAAAAATTATAATTTCTTCAAATTTTAGTTTGAAATTGCTTTTAACGGTTATTTAGATAAATTTCTTACCTGAATCAGTTTACATTTGCCTAAAGAAGCATTAAATGCTTTGCGCAAAATACAATTTACAGTCGGAACGAACTTTTGAAACACCCTGTATGTTTCACGGGTCAAGTAAAACAAACTCTAAATTGATTAAAGATGATGCACTTTGTTTTTATTAAAATACACAAAACTTTTACTGTAAACGTCACTTTTACTTTTCAAGTCTATTTAATCATTTGTTGTTTTTATTTATTTGCAAACTGTTTTCAATAGACTATTACTGAAAAAAAAAACTCATTGACTTGAATAACTGAATAAGGTATTGCACAAGGATTATAGTCCGAATCAATCAAACCGTTGATCAAACTTCACCTAGGTGACAACATTAATACACTTGTCAGGTCTTATGGAAGTTATTGGTTAATATTACAAGTATTTACAGTTAAAGGTACAATAGCCTGAGCAAATGAGCTATAAAATGAGATAAGTACAAATTCTTATGGCTAGTCACCACTTAATTATATAAAGTATATAAGAGGGAAAAAAAGCTAACAACCACAAATTTGAAATAACGGGAACTGAGAAGAAAATATGCCTGAATGAACTTATCTATTTATTTTCGTTTCTACTCAGCCACTATCCTGTATCGCAGACGTAATTGAACCTCAGTTAATAATGTCTGCGAAGCAGCGCCGAGATCCTTGTTCTGGGCCTCCGACTGACTAAACGAATTACCGGAAGTACGTTTCGTATTTCCTTTCATTACAAAAATATGACAACGGGCTTTCTTGCCAAAAAAGTTAGGGAGCTTAAGGAAAGGCGTTTTTGAGCCACGTACCTTAACTGGAAGTGAGGCCTTTCCCCTTTCAATATCAGGAGCGCCCAACGTCAATTTTCGGAAAATATCTGTTCTGAACACGATTTGAGATCTAGAATTTTCGGAACATTTTTTTTGGAAAATTTCTTGCCTGCCTGCCTCTCCTAGGATTTTCGAACATCTAAAATATGGTATAATTGGCCATTTTTAACGGATTTTTACCCTTCACCTAGAATTTTCGGGAGCCTGTCTTTTTTCTGGCTGAAGTTTTCGAAAAGGGAAGTTTTGATCCCTACAATTTTCGGATCACTAGACTTTCAGTTAGGAAATCCGAACAGATGAAAAATTTTTAGGGGATAAAAATATGCTTTTATTATATGGAGGAGAGTGTTTTACTGGGAACTAAACCACTCGTAGATTCCATACGCCACTTCATCCGGAACCCGAGTGGCGTATTTTCCGTATGTCACTTTTGTGAGTGTCGTATCGTTCAATGACGTCACGATTCCCGCCTTTTGCTTTTGTTGAATTGGTTTCTCCATATAATAAAAAGAACTCGAAGATATGAATTTTATGTTCGAGTGGCAAGAACACTGATCTCACTCGTTCGCTTCGCTCACTCGTGAGATATTGTTCTTGCCACTCGAACATAAAATTCATATCTTCTCGCCACCGTGTAATATCCTCTATATATCTACCGTTTAAATACTAAAATACGTTTAACAATGCTATGTTTAAATGGTTTTGAACTATGTTTTCGTTGGGTGCCCCCGCAATATGCCCTGGCGCTACCAATTTTGTCTTGTTAAGTGCGTTAACACTTTTGGCGGCGATATGCCAGAATACTAGGGCAAAGACATTGCCCAAGAATACAAGAAATCCACTTCCGGTTGACATGCGTCGTTCAAGACCGTCTTTGCTTAAGCTTGCTATTAACGGTCAAATCTCTCACTGGAAAAAACACAGCAAGAACTGTAACTACTATCTTTTATCTTCAACGCCATGAAGTCAGGTGTAAGCCCTAAAGGTTACAGAGGCCTTCATGATGGATTCAGCTGAGAAGTGACAAAGAAAGTTACGACAACGTTAGCATATTAAAACTGACATTCGACCCTCCGACCGAGACCATTCCCAACGAGATCAAAAGAAGAAGCACATACAGTGGAACCTCGATAACTCTAATTCCCCGCCAACTCGAACTAACCTTCCTTTCCCCTGATCAAAATTTCACTGAAATTTATCCCAATAACTCGAATTCCTGGCTAACTCGAACTGTTTCGTTTCCCTTCAAAGTTCGCATTACCAGGGTTTTTCTGCATATTGCTAGCCTGCGTTGCAGCCGTCCCACTCATTCGTCTAAACCATTTGTATAGTCCGTCTGCCGTACGCTCTATACAGAAGGTTTAGAGCGTCTGCGACGCAGGCAACATATTAGGGCCATTTATACGAGGAAAAATAAGACGCGTCTTATGTAAGACGCGTCTTAAATAAGACGCGAACTGTACCATTTATACGAGCATGTCTTATCTAATAAGACGCGTCTTAGCTAAGCCGCGTCTTATTTTAGACGAAATGTGCCGTTTATACGGAAAGTTTACATAAGACGCGTCTTAAATAAGACGCGAACTGTACCATTTATACGAGCATGTCTTATCTAATAAGACGCGTCTTAGCTAAGCCGCGTCTTATTTTAGACGAAATGTGCCGTTTATACGGAAAGTTCGGGTCTTATTTAAGACGCGTCTTATGTAAGACGCGTCTTATTTTTCCTCGTATAAATGGCCCTATTGCTTGCATGTTTTGGACAGGTTTCGTGAATGATAACTTCAATTAAGTTACAGTACAAACACAGGAAGCCCAAGTTCGAAACATGAGCATCGGCATTTTTGCGTAACATTTGAAATATAACCCGGAGAAGTCAATCGATAAAAATCGATAATCAAGTGATTTTTATCGATTGATAACGGAAATCGGTGAAAATCCATAAACTAAATTGCTGTGTCAAATTGATATTATCGACTTTTCATGATTTTAACGATATATAATGGTAAGTCCGACATGGTTGTTTTTTGGCATAAGTTAGAAAGAAAACACATCCACGAGTAACAACTGATCAACAAACATGAAAATAAGAAATGTGGAAACTATTACAGACACAAGATTCTCCCTAAAACCGTGACCCTTGTATACAACAACAAAAACGGTTCGGTTTAATTACATTCGCAGTTCTCGCAGGCAAGTACCAAGAGAAATATAACCTTATAGATAAAAGATTTCCCAGCCTGAATTTCAGACATTCCCTATAGTCGAAGGGATGACTGAAATTTAGGCTAAAAGATTTCCCTATAGATAGATTTTCACCGTTTTCCGTTATCAATCGATAAAATTACTTGATCGCTAAAGATTTTCATCGATTTCGATTTTTATCTATTGGCTACTCTTGCAAGTAACTACACGCGGAACTGATGATATTTTGAAAGGGTGGCAGATCTAAATCGTGAAAAACTGGGCGCCTACAAATCTGGCCAATTTAGGCCATCGGAAGAAGACTTTAAACCGGGTTTTAAAGAAAAGATAAGGTTTTTTAAACTTTTTTTTTAAGTGCTCAGGTACATTAAGGCCTGGGTCTAAGTCATTTATGGTTTTTATTTGCAGTTTCCAAAACTAATGGTTAAAGACATTCACAAGGGACGATATATGGTGAGGTAAACTAAACTTAAAAAAATTGAAAAAAGAAATTCAAATGATTTGGTCATGTGATCGACCAAACCCTCCATTGTTCAAAAATTGGAACCGACGATTCCAACCACTTGCCAAACAAGTAGCTCCGCTTTCCCTGTATCGAAACATTGTCCCTACAAAGTGTCTACGAAATCAGCTCGGAATGGTTCGAAGCATTACAATGGGCAGGTGCAATTGGTGTTCATTGACTAGTGTCAGTCCTCCTCCAACTAAAATTATCGACAGGAGTAAGACGTTTATGGACCTCGCCTCATTCCGATTGTTTTTACATGAAGAGTATTAGTGGCCACTCTTTGGACCTACTGAAGGAAAACGGTTTACTCTCTTTCTGGTGGGAATTTTGACTTTCTCGAAAAAACAGGGCGTGGCTGGTCACGTGATGCAAATATAAATAATTCTTAAAATGAAATTGGCAGATTTTTTGGTTATGATTGGCCTTAAATTGTTAGTCAGGGGATATCTTGAAAATACTTTACGTAATACCACCCCTCATTAAAAATTCTGAAAACTCTGTAATGACCCAGGCCTTAATCTACTTGAGTGATAATAAATTGTTTGATCCTTCGACTCTCAATTGCAACTCAGTTGTCAACAAATCCACTGTTTGCAGGAAATCAGTTTTCATTTTTTGGATGATCAGAAGAACAGATGTATCTTCCGATATAAATCGATGAAATCGCTAAAATCTAGGTATATTGGTAAACGAAACATGTGTATCATCGATTTCTACCGATTGGTCGATACAATCGATATCAATCAAATCAGGTTTACCGATTTTAGTATCGTTTTATCGAGTGACTTCTCCGGAAATATAAGGATTTGTATGGAGAAAAAACACTGTAATCGATTTTCTCTCCATAAAACGGTCTTTAATCGGCCCGTGGACCACACAGGAGAGAGGTAACACACATTTAAAGTGAGGTAAGCTGTTTTTGATTGAAATCCTTTCATTTTCGTAGGTTACAGAAACTATAGGTTTTTTCCCCATACAAATGTTCATATTTCGAGCTTGGGCTACCTGTGGGGCCACGTCTACTGGAAAGAACGGAGAAAGCCCCTGGTAAACGTACAAAACTAGTTCTAGAAACATTTGAATTCTCTTTTTACGATTGGCCAGGAAATATGCAACGATCTGGCCGAAAAAAGAAAAAAAAAAGGAAATCCAAAGCGTGGAACTATTTTGTATAAATAGTGTTTCCTCTTGCAAGGAGGCTCCTAATTATAATAATAATAATAATAATAATAATAATAATAATAATAATAATAATTTTATTTATATAGCGCTAAAATCCAATAATTGTCCAAAGCGCTACCTAATTACAAAAAAGAATATAAAAAAAATCTAAATTATAAAATATCTACAATATACAATATAATTCAAATATAGCCTAAGTTATCTACTATATAAATAAAAAAAGAAAAAAGAAAAATTGCGATCGCTCATGCTTTGGGATCAATGAAATAGAAGAACAATATTTAATAATCATTAATTCTTAGTTCCCTACCTGCAGTTAAATTCTACAGTGGGTTGATTTATGTTGATTTCGTCTGGCGTCATTCCTGTTGTCCACTGCTTGTTTCCATTTTTGCACCTCTTAACACCTAAAGCTGGGTCATTCCTGTCGACAGTGTAAACATTATCAATGTCAAATCCGCCTTGGGGAAGTGGAACACACAGCCATGTTTCAGATCCAGGTGAATGACGCTTAGATCGAGTTGGGCATGCAGCTCCACTGCCATCGAGGTCAGTTTGCCTTTGTAAATGATGCTGGTGGAAGTCACAGCTTCCTGTAGTTAAGTGTGTAACTAAAACATGTGTCCATTCTGGAACTCGTTGGACATCTCCTGGACATCTTATCTCGGGGCATGCAACGTACTTATTAATTTCACTACTCACTTGCTCAGCCATTGAAACAGAATCACCAAATTTGACCCCTTTGTTTGGCCTGTGACTTGAGGCTAGAAAAAGAGATCTCTTGCCATGTAGCAAAATCTTGACGAAACATCTAAAGTTCGTCGGAAACCAGTTGCGTGGATCTCTGCGATCAGTTATCCGTTGACTCTCTAGTTCAAGATTATTTGTTGCAGGAGGACTGTTAAATACAAACTGTCTTATGTTCGGTTTGGACGTTAGGTATGGTTCATTACAATCTTGCACTCCTTGATCAAAATGGGAAAACACTGGTCCATTACTAGTCGTTTTGACCTCAAATCGGAATGCCTGCACTTGAGATGAACCCTGAAGGTGAGAAGACACAATTGATGCCGAAACAGCGGGAGGGAATGAGTCTGGGGATGTTGGTCTCAAAAATAGTGAATCCTGATTTTCTCCTTGCATAAAGCATTTTTTGTCTATCCACACCGATATACAGACAACCATGTTGGCGTCAACGCTCTCCTCCAAATACCCAAGATATTTTACAGGGCTCGAGTCTGGTTCTTCGCAAAGTATTCTAATGGAGGAGCTAGCTGGAGCATATACTCGAACCGCACCAAAATTTTCTTTCACGTCAATATTAAATGGTCCTTGTTTCGCAACAGCCGGCGAAATTTCAGTTTCCAGCAAAAAGCGCGTTGGAGATCGTTTGCTTCTGCCTGAGTTTTTATTTCCTGTCCACAAATCCCCAGCTTCGATCCACCTTCCTGAATTTGGGTCGAGCCACCACAATTTTGCAGTAGTGTTTCCGTTACTGTCAACCGAAATATTCATCTTTTCAGGATCAATATACATTTTAATAGGCTTAGAAGTGAAAAGCGGATTTCCACTTCCATCTTCAAAGTCCATATTAAGCATTCCATAACTGACTAATAATTGTTCTTCTCCGTCCTCGTCGATGGTAGAGAAGTCAGCTGGGGCTGTCTGAATATCTGAAAGGTTGCGTGGATCCATAACGCTTAATCTTAGATTGGCTTGCCCAGAATAAATTGTGCCGTCATCCTTCAAGAGCGACCCTTCAGGAATTTCAATCTCAGCAAATGCAGAGTGAACAGGACTATCACCTAATAAAACTTTAAAGGGTTCAGACGAATTAAACGGCTTTGCAACGGGTTTGGGCCTTAAAACAATTTTAGAGAAAAGTCTCTGACCTTCTCTGATGCGAAATACCTTCGTTAAATCTGCATATTCATTGTCATAATCGTCCTTAAAAACCACTGATAATCGTTCTTTTCCTTTAGGAACTTCAAAGTTAAAGAAACCAGATCGATCAGCGTTGTATGTTTTACCTTCGAACGATAATTGGCAGTAAGGAAGAGGTTTTTCAGTAGCCCCTTTCAAGCCAATAACCACTCCAGTTATTCTTGTTTTCGGTTCAACACATTCTTGGCAACCACAACGCGTTACCCTAGAAACACTGAAGGTCACAGAGCTCCCGCAACTCACAGTGACATCCCCTACTTCCTCTACTCCACAACAAAGCGTCTCATCCTTGCATGTGGTATTTGAAAGCCAGGTGTCATTCCGAAGGCATGGTCTTGGGACACATTCTCCTACATCCACAATGTTTTTTGTTGTACCATCGATCACACATCCAGCTGGAAGTGTGACATTCTTGCTGAGGGGGTTAGGGTTACACAATACTTCGTCAATAGTATCTGCGAAAAGGATGCCACAGTATAAAAAGCATGTCCCACCTCATGGCGGTCTTTCGTGAATATTTCAAATAATATTAGTAATAACTAAAGGTTACGGAATGCGGGAGACAACGATCAAAGGTCAAAACGCTTTTGCGCCAGCGCCGTGCTTTGCATAAGTTTCACGTGACAGATAGTCAACACGCGTGATCAGATTACGAGTGAGTAGAAGGTCTAAACGCGCGTCTAAATTGCGTTCTGTGCGTTCCATTCATTCTTAGTAGAAGTCCAAACGATTGCTGGCTACATACATGCGACGCATGCGTAATACCAACCTGGAGGCGGATTAGGATTGCGGGCTCCTCTTGTCGCCCGCAATAGTCATTTTATTCAACTAATGACTCAAAGTCAAAAGCCGTTCAAGTCCGAAACTCTTTTTTTCTGAAAATCTAAAAACATTTATTTACCATCCTTTGCCCGGGAACATATTTATATCATTCTCTCTCTCTTTCTCAGAACAATTTACGTGGCAAATCTGTTAGTAGAACAATGCAAAACCGGCATCCAAAGGCTGATCTCGTCCTTTTACAAGGCCTAGTTGCCCCCCACCCCTCCTACCCCAGACCTTAACAGGGTTACGGGTTCTTGGACTTATAAAAAAAAAACGTAAAGCCTCTCAATAAGCCAAGAGGGCCACTTGCGGTCCGAGCGCGCGTCACCGAAATGCATTGACCAAAATGGGAAGACACCGTACAGGGAGGGACTAGGCAAGGTCAGGACTAGAGGTGACCAGTCCAGGTTTATGGGAATTTGGACAATTGTGGTTAGTTCTACTTACCGAAAACTTTTAAATTTGCAGTATCAGACAATTCCGTACCATAGTCGTTGACAACTCGACAGCGATACGTTCCGTTGAGACCACTTACGTTAGACATTTCCAACGATTTGCCGGTCGCACCATCGATGATGTTGCTGTCTTTAAACCTTATAAAGCAAGAGTATATAAGATTTTTAAAGACAGAAAACTATATTCGCGAAAGATCAGGAAAAATTACTTTAATCATTCCTTATGGGTAGATATAATTGCATGATTACAAGACAAAAGCTAAAATGACATCCAACAAACGTGTCTGTCATTGTTTGCAAATGTCAATGAGTTCCTAAAAAGCAGTATGTTAAAAAATACGCTCGAAATCACAGATTTATAATAATAGATAATAATAATAAAATATTTATATAGCGCTTATACTTTTCAGTACTAAGCGCTTTAGAAGCCATTTGGAATTGTTAGACGATGACAAATTGACCTGTGAAATAAATGAATTTTGTATTAAAGAGAAATAAACTTTTATAGATAAGAATTCTTGAGTAAACTTGAGAAAAGTAAGGATGTGCAAATTGTGGGGTAACACGAGGCTAGCTTAGAAGTCTAACGCTTACCACTCGAATTCAGGATTGGGATTGCCCTCGCCATCGCAACATAGCGTAACACCTTGACCAGAAATTCGCAGTTTACTTCGTGGATGAACAGTGATGGATGGAGGTACTGCAACATAGTTAACAGATTGTTACTCTCCCAATTAGTATGTGTATCAGATATATATATATATTTATATATATATTATATATTACACCAAGAGAGATCCTCTCCTGATTGATTTTTAATAATATATTCCAGATTGCTTTAAGGTGTTTCGATGTAGTTTTTCAGAGGCCATACCGATATTTTTCAATCGCTTTAAAAGTGATTTTATCATTGTCTGATCGCTATAAAAGTTTCACGAATGATTGACTATAGATTGAAATTTGTCAAAATGTAGATTTTAGTAAAATCGATACCACTATGATAACAATACACAAAAAAACTTTGAAATTGATAAACACCTAATTTGGCGCGATCTAGACCAGCGACTGAAAATCCAACACTAGGAACTTAAAGTTTGGTGTTTAGCAAATAACCTAGGTAAGAAGTAAAAAATTCTGTGTGTTTGAATTCGACTAAAACGAAAATATATTTCAAACCTTAAATTTTCAATAGCCGTGATAGATTATTTAATAAAAACGTTATAAATGACTCAAATTATTCTTAAGTAGCGTCAGAATGCTGCTTAATATCATATTTCCAGGCGCGGATCCACACCGGTTTCCACCGTTTTACGGAAATCGGTCAGATTTTTCTTAAATAGATATATTTTTAATAAATAAAAAACTTTCCAAGTTGCAAGGCTTTATCCAAGGTGAATGGAACTGGCCAATATCCTATCTGAGTGACTCGGAACCCCGAGAAAGGAGACTTTAGGGAGTTAAAATCTAAAAGATTTACCGGGGGAGCATGCCCCTGGACCCCCAAGAAGCTTGCGTTTTCGGCGCTCGTTGAGGAAATCGGTCAGCAGTTTATCCTAGATCCGCGCCTGACTCGATACTAGGAAATTTTGGTGTATTTTCGTTCTTGCGATCTTAAAAACTGACCCGTTTTCGCACCACTTGTATAAGTGCAACTTCATTCAAAATTTGGACTTTTAGCGCTTTTTTGTACATCTCTGAAACATCTCGAACGAATTTTTTAAAAATTTCTTCACATAATCTTCATAATGTATATAATACTGTCTGAAACTTTCATTAAGATTGATTCAATGCAACACCAAGTGTTACTAAAGCAAGCACACCGGGAAATTCTCTATATATACAGTATATGTATATCTAAAAAAAGGTAGTTGCTTGTATTAGGATTGCTTTACAATTTATAATCAAATTACGTGTTTTAAAGATTAATGGTTCAGTTTATATTGGATTGGTTATAAAAACAAGGACTATTATTTTCGATTTTCACAAAGAACTTACAGAGATTATAAAGAATAATTTTCTTTAGTTCATGAGCTCAGTTTTCTTAATCAACTATGAAAAATCTTTTAACCTACACCTAGCACGTCAACAATAAAAAAAGTGGTTAACACGATTAAATGTAGCAAAATGGAAGCAAAAAACAAATAATTCTTACCCTTTGAAGATAAAATCATTCCAGCAGTTAAAATGGCGGATGCTTCTTGAAGAGCAATTCGGAATATGCATCAAAGGCATCATGGGAATGAAAAGGTAAAAGGATTTACGGAAAACCATGGGAAAACTAAACCCACATAAAAGTTGATTGTAAAAGCTTGAAGAGCTTTACTGCAAATCATACAAAATCTAAGCAACTAAAAAATTAAGTATTTCAATAATTTTGTATTAAATTTTCAGTACAATACTCATCAAACTAAGCAAACACCCTCTCAAGACACAGAGATAATAATAACGTCAAATATAACAATACCGTTTCAAAAAATATGTATTATTTACAAAATAGATGTATTTGTATCCAAGATCTTTACTAAAGATTTTGCAGTGATTAACATTTCTAGACCCACACGAAAAAAAAATAACTATAAAAAATTGTTTGTGTTGATACCGTATTACATTTTAGCAGAAACTCATAAGGGATTGAATAACTCCTTATGAGTTTCTGATTTTAGCTAAATGATTGTATCTTTAGGCATATGAGGAAAAAGTTTAAGGGAGTCATGGAGCATTCTTCAAACCGGCGAAAAAACTTATCTCATTTTTCTATTAACTTTAATTTGTTTTAAATTGCTTATTCAACCCACATCTGTGTTCGATCTTCTTTAAAAAGGGCATTGGTTACAAAAAACGCATCTTAGCAACCGTTGCCATGGAAATAAGGATCATTTCGCGAAAATGTTTTAAAATGAAAGAGCTTATGAAGTTGCATGACTTTCCAAAGTTTCATCGTTGAACAATGTTTAGTCTTTAGGATATGATTTTTCAAAGGTTTTAATTGGTACCAATAGGAAAATAGGGTTTAGAGGCAATTATGCAACTTTCATGATTCGTTATAAGACAATGGAATGGTTTGATTTGCAAACTTGGAAAAAACCTTATACAAACGGTTCTCGCGAATTAGTAAATATCAGTTGTAAGCACATTCTAAGTACATCGGCAATGTATATTTGTCGCGGAAGTCGAAACATCCGTTATTATTGACGTTAGACCCTATGGACAGAGTTTCCTTATAAACCGTTACCATGGTAATGCAAAAAAAAGCACAAAATTGTAGCTCTTATGGATTAACAAGCGGCCAAATACTAACCCATTTGCCTTATTAGGTAAAAAGATATGATTTTCAAAGTTTTGCACCTATACGAAAATGCTGAAATTTGATGCTTCAAAATACCCTCCACCCCCCTCAGAAATCACAACGTGCAAAGTCACTGACCCTACAATTTGTAGATCCGAATGTCGAATAGGTAATCTATGGGTATTTGGGCCGGTATTTGGCTATCTGAATCTGTTGTCAAATAGTTTGTGTGGTGAGGTGCTGCGCAACCCATTTCTTGGGCCTCTTTTAGAAATCTGCTCCTCGACTATGAGGCGATTCAAAAATATCGGTATGGCCTCTGAAAAACTGTATGGAAACACCTTAAGGCTGAGTAGTAAAAATGAGCCGTAAGGAAGTGACCCGGTTTTCAGAATTGAGAGAAAAGAGAGGGTTATCCAAGCATACTGGCCATTGTAGTGAAGTGGCCATCATGAGAAGGAAGGGATGTCAAAAGGTTACAAATAAATATTCATTAACAAGCTATGAACAACTATTTTCATTTTAAAACTTTTAGCTGGTATTTTGTTCGGTTCTCTTCAAGTCTTTGAGCTGGACCAGTTACTACAGTTAATTCATTGTGATTTCAACGCTACCTGCACTTTCCAATTTCACCTTCGCATTTGCCGATGACGGCGTCGAAGTAGTAGCTGTTAGTGTAACAGGAACAAAACCCACTTTGGTAAAAAGCAGCTTTGCGCTCGTGCAAGCATTAAGAGCTAAGAAGAAACCACTTTCATTTGTCTGCGCCAGAACTTTGTACGGTGTTTCTGCCAGAGAAATACTAACTTCTGAGATTGGTGCACCGCTTTTTGATCGAACACGACCAGTAATAACATGACCGTCACAAGTGCAAGCATCACAAGCCGCATTCAGCGTTCCTTTGACGCATGATTTGGAGCAGTCTAAGAAATAAAAGTCAAACAGCTCTGATTAGAGATGTTCATTGGCATCAGTTAAGAAGGCACACAATGGGGTGGGGATGCTTATAGGAAAATCTTTTACTTCCACCCTTTAACGAGACCACGAGCATCACCGTCTATTTCGTACCCGGAAAAGCCAACCGCACCTTATTTCTTCTGTATTGACTGGTGTAGAAGCCAGGTGTGAAGATAGATTTGCCCTTCCAAGCATAAATCGGGGAAAAATAAGCGTAAAAGGAATTCGAGCGACTTCGGCGTGTGAACAACAAGGAGGAAAACGAACTCTGCAATTCTCTTGGCAAGCGGGAAAGAAACTCGTCACTGTTCCACGGTATTAGGATCTTCTACAACTGGAAAACAGGACAGCACTCAAACTTGGACTTCAATAGCAGCTCCTGGACGTAGATCATACATGCGTGTGAAACCAAAATGTAAATCGTACAGGCATGTAAGTCCGCAATGTAAATCGAAAAACAGAGATAACAGTGCTATATTTATACTAACCGATCAACTTATTACAGTTATTAAAACAAATGGAAAGAAAACTGAATAAAATCAGTTGAAAACTGAAAACGAACCTGGATAAATTCAGCTTTAGAGTTCGTATGCTAAAGAAAATGAGTCAAAATTTCGGAAACTTACAACTCTGAAAGCTGTGCAAAAGAATTCGAGTTTCCTTTGCTAAGGATTCCTTAAAATTTCAAAACTAAAAACTACGAACAGTTGGTATTTGAGCAGGAGAAAGGTCCAGTTGTTCAGTGACTAAACTGCATAATTATTCAGAAACTTATTATCCTTTAAATTTAAGGTCAACATTGAAGCAAAATGTGAATAATTTCAATGAACTAAAACATCTCAATGTAAATTCAATGTAAATTACGGCTAAAACAACTTCAAAGGGAATATTTAAAAGCTACATAAGAAATTCGAGGCAAATAAAGAATTCACGGGATTCAAATCTCTCCTTAGGCAGGAGCCGAGTAATAGGCTCCTTCTGGTGTACCCTACTCGCTCCACAGACTCTGGAAATTATCCTCTACTTGAAAACAGCAAGTTACTCCCTACCTGGGCAACTCCACTGTGAGCAATTCTTCTTCTGAAGAGGTTTTCCTGCACAATATATGGGTGCAAAAACGGCGCGCTGGTTTTGAGCGATGCATGTTCTAGATCGGACACGTGTTCCATTACCACAGGTCTTAGTGCATACACTCCAAGCGCCCCATCGAGACCACTTAGCTTCTAGGAAGTAATACAAGTTGTTAGTAGAGGTTTTTAACATTATTCTTTCCCAATACGACAATAACCAGTAAGCATAAGGATGGGACATTAGAAAAGTGATGGGAAAGTTAACATTTCCCTCCCTTTTTTCAGATAATTTTCCCTTGAACGAGTTTTTTCCTATCATACCCTCCATAATGATTCTTCTAATGTTCCGTCCCTGAATCAATCGCACGATAGTCAATCATCAAGTAAATGCCTGTCAGTTTTAGAGCCAATGATACTCATAGCTGTTTTTGTTGAGAAATGTACCTCAAATAGAATAAGGTATACTCTAATTGACAAGACAACAGAATAACTACTATAGCATGCGTGAGGTACAGGCCTTGAAAACGAGCTTTCGATTTTCCCCTTTCGAACACCTCCCGCTCAAAGTCATGCGATTCTCTCTAGTCTAGGTTAGTTCCGAGACGAGGATCGAATGCTTCGCTTTACGCGTTTGGAGAAACTCTCGTAAGCTTTCTAGTCGAGTTCTTTTAGGTCTCCTCGCCATTTTTTGTCTTTTTTCTATCAGTTAGTTTCAACTGACATCGTGTGCGGCTGTATATTTTAATACAGTGTTGTTGCTTCTAATTTTGGGTAGCAAATAAATAAATAATAAGCAAACGGCAACTGCGGTATTTACCTGTATTCGGTACTAGTTGACGAATTGACGATAGAGCATATCCTGTTACTGTAGTATGAGCATGAATGTTTTCAACTGAAGACGTCAACTTCGCCGAGACTTCGTCACAATAACTGCAAGTTGAAATGACAGATGCTGCGTCTAAAACGACCGCTGTTTTTACTTGCACTTGATGGGCCGAAGTTGCAAATACTCTAGCCGAAGTGCTTATGATCTCTGTCGTGGAAAAAAGGCAAAAGAAAAAAATAATTAACTTTGTCTTTAAGTTCTTACCAAACCGTTTTAAACAACATTTCACATAAATCAAAGCTGATCAGTATGGCGGGTAAGGGTGAACGTATCCGAGGAAGTAGCCCGTATAACAGGCGCTTTATGAGCAAAGCAAGGCGAATGCGCGCCTTAGCTCATAAAGCGCCTGTTATGCAGGCTAGGGTGAACGGATCTGGGTATGACTCGCGAATTGTTGCAAAATGCGTTTTCGAAACATCGTATTTGGAGAAAAAAAATATAATATCGGTCCGAAACGTAACGAGATATGTTCGACAAACATTTAACATGATAGGTTTCGAAAACTGAGAATGCGAAAATGTATTTCGCCTTCGGACAGGGTAAAAATGGAACACTAATATAAGGCCGACAGCCGTACTCGAGCTCGAACCAACGACACCACACGCCACTACATTTCGACATTTTAGTGTTTGAATAATCCTGAATCTCGGGCTGAAGTCAGCCTACAATGTTCTTAGTATAGCTGAGGCAATTAGAAGGCAAACTGAAAAATTTCTTAAAAATTTAAGGTACTGCCTTTGCCCCACAAATGTCTCCAGTACTGCCGGGAAGCATAAAACCAGTGTCCTTAATTGCCCCCGTAGGGATTTCGCCCACAAGGCGAAATCCCGAGGAGGCACTCTAGTAACTCGAGCGCATATTAAGGAAAGTACTTACAGTTGAAATATACAGTCAGTCTCGATTTGCTTGAACAGGGGCCGCGAGGAATCGGTAGGTAATGATGAAGTTTCTATTGTTTGCGCCCGCAAGTACGAAATGGTTAGGATGACGTAAAGACAAAATCACGAAGGGACCGCTTAGGTAGATTTTGTGACATTTATTGTGACGTCATACTTCGATACTCTTTTGCGTTACTCGTTATCAGTGACATTCCGTGGAGCAGTTGTTTTGAAAGTTACGGACCAAAAGACACTCGTTAAGCGTAGATGAAGTTACAAAGTGCGTATAACTGTGTTTAGTAAAATCCAACTAGTGGTCTATTATCAATGCTGCGTTCTGATTGGTTGAGCTACTACTAGGCTATATGTTATAGCCCGCTAGTAGCGAAAAGCACCGGCTTTTTGGCGGCAAAAAAAGGTTAAAGTCTACCTTTAACGAGCTAATTAAAAGTTGTTTTGTCTCGATATTTTTGACCAACTAGTTGGATTTTACTAAAACAATTATTCCTCTCGCCCTCATGGCCTCTGAGTCAATAGCCCATTCGGACTCACAGCCCATTCGGGCTGGAGAGTTTGCCAGACACGAGTTCACAAATCTTTGATTGGAAACCTTGCCAGACACTCTTTCTCTCTCTTTGACTGGAATAAGACTCATCCCCAAACAAGCAAGACGAGTAAACAACGGCTAGATTATCACTAGCAGAACGATGGACGATTACAGAAATTCGCCGACAACCAAATTCTGAGCTGACTTATTCCCTGCTCACAGATGTCCTTCCGCTATAAAGTTTAAAATAAGACTAGAATGCGCGAGCGTGAATTGATCAAAAGTCCTTTTAATTCTAAGGCTTACTTTCCAGCAAATAAAATGAACTGAATGTTAAAAGTGAACTAGAAATAGCGAAAAATTCAACTTCTATTTAAATCTTTTCTTATGGTCTAAAAGAAACTATTCTCGAAACTGAGAATGTTAATTTGATCAAAACTGTGTAGATCGAACTGAAACTGTGCATGGAACCTTGCGTTTCCTGTATTTATCTCACCTATTGTGTGGAATATGTGTGAAAGTCTTCATTATGAATCGGTATATTTCAAGAGCTACACAACGAGCAAGAATACTGTTGACCGACAATATACAGAACGGGGGCAGCTGTAGAGTCAACTATTACTAGTTAGTTGTTACACGCTAATTGCATTGGACCTGTTTACAAGGAGAGAGGGTTACCCTTATGCTAGCGTTACCCTAGCAAGCGAGTTAAAGTTAGCTCTGGCTTTGCAAGCAACTTTCACAGGTAGGGTTACCCTATCACGGGTCAGCTGACGTATTTCGACATGCGTGACATTCTCTACAACGTCCAATATTTGAAATAAAACGGTTCTCTATGGAAAATACGTTAAATTCACTAAAAAACGGAAAATACTATCATCGTATACAGAAAATACCTTATATTGTTCAGATGTTTATAATTTAGCTCAGAAATTGATAATTCCGTTCAAATTTTCGAGATTACTGGTCACGCATGACGGAGGAAGTTGTCCCGAGTGGGCGAGTTATCCATAGCAGAGCGTTTACAAGGCTAACCTGCGATCAGGCGATTTTTTTTTTTCCCGCCAAAAAAAAAAAAAAAAAAAAAAAACTTAGGGTAACCCTCTTGCTAGGGTAACCCTAGCACTCAGGTAGGGTTACCCTAGCGCTAGGGCAACCCTACCTGCCTTGTAAACACGTCGTGTAAAAAAAGAAGAAATGTGCGAGTGCTAGGGTAACCCTCTTGCTAGGGTAACCGTAGTACCAGGATACCCTCTATCCTTGTAAACAGGGCCTTAAATTCCTTTTAGTCAAACTTTTTTCGGATTTGGACAATCCAGATTGTTTGGATTTTCGTGCTAGCCGGAACAAAAATCTGAAATAAGATTGATCCATACAGCAGCTGCCTGCCGCTCCGATCTTCTTCTCAATTTCAACGCGTCGTTTTTTACTTCTTTCTGCTAAATGAAGCATCTTCTCGTGGAGAGACGGAAAGAAAATTAGCTCTTCAACTACTGGTGGTTCATACTGGTTCATACTGGAACTCATCAACTTAAAACTTTCTGGAATTTGATTGAAGAAAACTCAGAAGACAATTACGAATTCTCAAGCGCTGAGAAGCGCGTTCTAAACACACACAGACATTGGACAGTATAGTTTTACAGTGAGAAAATCTAAGCGTTTTCTCTTCCTAACGGATTTAGAGTGACAGTGGAACTTGAGTTAAATATACTACAATCCTTTAGCGGCATAGAACAACGGGGGAATGTAAATAACTTTTGCCTGAACGAACCTTGACCCGCCGTGTTTACTGATGAACGACCACGTTTTTTGCGATCGAAAAGCAGTTTCAATAATTGGAACAAAGATATGAAACCAGATTGAGATACCAATCTGAACGATCCACGCTCAGAGGTAGATCGTTCGGATTGCAATCTTAGATTGGTTTGGTCCTTAATGGCACAAAAAAACGAATTTTCGATCGCAAAATCCGGATTTAGATTGACTAAAAGGAATGCAACCTTAATAAACAGTAGGTTCCGTTTATACTTGGTTACTGTCCACTTTGCTGGAATTTCGGAATGAAACATTCATTTAACAGTTCAGGGATTAGCAAACTGAGCTTCAGTTATATTAGTCTGGCTAAGTACTGTATTCATAATATGGCTATAATTTAAAAAACTGGATTGGTTTCATCTATAGTGTACTGACCCATGGAAGGTGGTGAGAACGAGGAGGTCGAGAAGGGTTCGTCGAACTCTTTTCCTTGAAAATGTCTTCCAGCTAAAAGGGAAAAGGAGAGAAAATGAGTTCACGTAATCCCCTTTACAAACTGAGACCCGGCCTACTTTTATTTAACAACAGTGACCTTACCATACGGATGGACTGTAAAGTTTTACCCCATTATAAGAGGCGCTTCTGAAAAATACCCAATTTTTCTTTACTCCTTTTTCGTCTAGAAAAAATGCTCAAGTTTTCTTCGTTTTATTTGCAACTGAATGTCTGCATGCGTAGTTTCATAGTTTAACTTGCTCTCCGAGCAATGAAAAAAGGATATGGTTAGGACTTTAAGTATTAAGATAAACTACAGAGAATATTTACACTGCGGGAACTGACGTGACCAGAGAAAAGCAGCTGCAATCCCGGTCATACTGAATTAGTTGAAACACTTGCGGAGAACACAATATGAGACTTGGTGTTTCCACAAATAATTTTTCGGTTCCCTCTCCTTCCCTCAATGCTGGTTTCACTGGTTTGCTTGGGCATAAACGTCTGCAAAATCACATTAAAGGGGAAAAGGCGAAAAAATCGGAGGCGTTTCAATAATTATGAACTGGGAATGTAGTTGCGTGCCAAAAACGTCTCATTTTTGATGGTCAGTGCTGGGGACACCTCAATGACATCATGAGTAGCTATGTTTGTGACAAGTAATGATATCTCAAGCACACAAACGAGGTTTGAAATCTCGTGTTTGTTCTTGAAGTCCGATCCAAACTCAATCCCTTAATGTCATCTAGATGACCAATGTTTGTTTGCATAGTGCGTTGAGTATGAGAGTACTAATGTCTGTCCCTGCTCTAATGTCGAATCAGGTACTTACATTGATCTTTTCCGCTATCACTCTCAGAAGTTCTGTGCCAAACCAGTACACCAACGAGTACTCCAACGATGATAATGGCAAGCACGATGACAGCAAGTACGATCATAACTTTTCGGCGAGGTCTTGATGGGAATTTAACGTTAACTAAACCACCGGAGCATGATTTCTCTTGCACGATTTGTTCATCTTCGTAAGCAGAAACATCTTTTACACTTCCCAAAGGAATCGTTTCTTTTAAATCGTACTTCGACGCCATCCCGAAAACACCCTTATCGTGGGACCATCGAAAGTTCGCTTTTTTTGGTGTGTGACACAAATTTGATTAAGGGGACTAAAAAATGAGGAAGTAATACTGGATCCGTCAATCAGTCAGACTTTCTGCTCTGATTGGCCATTGTAAATGTGAACTGTTGACACTGAAGTCAAAGTTCTCAAATTTATTTCCCACAGTTTACTGTAAATGACACTCTTATAAACCAGACGCGCCGCTTAAATACAATAAATCCTTAGTTGGTTAGTTTATTTTTAAACCAGTTAAAGAATATCAGTGATAATTGGTCAGTTTTACACCGGGTGTTGCTTTCTCATTTCATTTTGTTTGTATATAGGTGGTTTCACTTATTCGATTGGACATGCAATCCACGTTTAAAGTATTTTGATCAACTGGTCCACTTAAAGAAGCGTATCTCGACCGTTTTTACCGTCATCTAAACCTTTATTTGGAGGACACTGTTGTGAGCATTTCCTGAGTGTTTCCGGCTTTATACAGGTATCACTGTACTGTCTGTACAACACCGAAGCGACAAGACTTAACAGATTTTATTGTTTTCGCACTATTTACATTGTGTACATTGGAATTTTATGGAACAATGTCAGAAATAAAGATAACAAGGAATTAAGGAATTAAGATGTGCGCAATGACCAAAGTAGATAATGCTTCCAGGTTGGTCCCTGTTACGTTAAGCTAGATGGCATAGACAATAAGCGTAGTGAAATGAAATAATTATACAAAGAGAAAAGGTGCTAAAGTAACAATATTGACGTGTATTAAGAAAGGGAATTGCATCTCTTGAGGGATATAGAAAAGAATCCCGATACAACTTATGTGCAAATTCTTTGATATCCCTACATGCATCATTCAGTGACATTCAGTCGGCCTCGTAATTCGCAATGGGTTATTCCAGAAAAAATCCACACACCCACGACAGAAGGCACGGTTTATTTTACCCCCCCTCCCACCTGGATTTCCAAAACTGCCTGAGCCCCCCTCCCCTCAGGATTTCCAAGTTCAAAGATCCCCCCCCCCCACCCATCTGGATTTCCATCAAATTGTTAGACACCGTAATTTTAATTTACCCTCAATGTAGAAGAATCCTTTTAAGCACTTAGATGATCTTTTCATTAAATAAGTCTCGATTTTCTGTGAATTCAGTGTTTGTTGTAAAAGTTAAGATTCCATTTTCACATTTTCTTAAACAGGCTTAGACTTTTTGCAGATAAGCCCATATTTGAGTGAACTTCTCTTTTTTCTCTAGAACAGGCCAAATATTCAGCAATATATACCACAATGAAGCTCAAAACTAACTGTGTTCTCGAATAAATGGTTCTCTTCTTTGTCGATAAAAAATGATTGCGAAAGAAAGAAAAAGGACACTGAAATAGCATTGACCTTGGAAAAATGTTTAATTCAAGGTAAAATCATTGTTTGCTTTCCTTGAATTGAGTGCTTTTTTTATGAATTATGCGATTTTTCTTGATATCTTCATTATCGCACGTCGCTTCTACAAAAGTAACGAGGGCGAGCCTATGGATGGAAACTTAAAATAAATGTGGTAAGAGGTCTGTAGTTTGAAAGAATAATAAAATTTGAAAAGGCAAAGCAATGTTTTGAAAACTTATCGATTGAAGTGATTGAAACATCGATGAAATCGATAAAGTGACCAATGGGATATTGTGACATGAAATTATAAGAAGCAACTTTGAACTACAAAAACGATGATAACAATTATGACGTGTTTGTCACGAAAACGATAGTTGCTTTGATTTTTGTTAGTCGGGACTGGGGATTTGGCCGTCAAATTTGAAGATTAAAAACGCTAGATTTCAGGTGGGGTGAAGAGACAGAGATTAAGGATTGCAATAATTATGAATGGGTACACGATATTTGGCAATTATGTGAGAAACTTTTAAAATCACGAACGTAACGTCAATATCAAGACCAAAAATAGCCTGATTAGCAAGCGTTCGAAAGGGGGAGGGGAAGGGAATTTGGACTTTCCCTTCCCTCCCCTTTTGAACACCTGTAATAAAAATTTCAACGAAGAAATACAAGAAAATCAAGTTGTACCAGCATTTCACACGGAAAATAATTTTATACGCACCAATAGATTTGCGCAGTTTTCCTGTAAGAAATCTCTAAACAAGTGACCCCAAACTCGCATATATTAGTGAAATTAAATAAACTTTAGGGCAGATCTCGAGACACAACTTTCTTAACATTTTTTGGTAAGCCTTCATAAACTGATTGCGGGATTTTCACATAAAGTTGAGAACTAAAGTCAAACATTGCATCCCTGCCAAGATACCCATACTCTACTTCAAGGAATGTCTTTAGATCATTTGGCCCTTGAACACTAACCCCTTCAAAGTTGTATCTCTTGAGTGGTAATACGCATATCTTAGGGAACAGCTTTCTTCTGAAGTCATAGCTTCCAGGAATATTCCAATTATAACAAAAACAATTAGGATTATCAGGATGTTGACCAAAAGTGAAAACATCTAAATGAGCTAGGGCAGGATCAAACCGTATATCATGTCTTATTCCAAACTCATCCCATAGATTCTTGGTGGCAAAAAATTTAAGCCGTTTACCGCCAACTCCATTGAAAGGTATTTCATTTCCTTGTTTATCAAACCAACTTGTTCCTGTCACAGGGCACTTATCAGACAGGTTAATGTTACCATCTTGTGTAGATAAAAATGAAGGCATATTTTGCATAACTTTTAAGAAGTCAGTCTCAAAAATTGCAACATCAACATCACCATCATGGCGGATCATCTTTCCATTTTCCCTATAAACTGAAAGAGCTGTACCACCGCAAACTAGGTAATGGATATCCATTTTACTGAAATACTCTGTCACTTGTTTAAGGACATAAATACAAAGAGGTTTAAATGCCTTGTTTTGTCCCATCTTTGATCTGAAGTTTCTCACAGTACAACCATTCCACATATCAAAACTGAGGGAGTTGGGCTCTGCCAATTGCTGCTGAACTTCATTGTTACTGTTGTCTGGTGCACAAATAGCCAAGAAATCATCTTCACCTGTAGCCATCGTAATCTGTAATTCAAAATTAAAAAATTCTATTCTAGCAACAGCCAAAAAATACCCGAAAATTACAAAACTAAAAATTGTTACACAGTAGGCTGTGTGAGCTGCAAAGATGAATGGAATCCTTCATTTTTATTGGTTATTTGAGTGCAGGCAAAATGGGCTCATCTACCCCGCTCAGAATTTCTTGCTCTCTTTGGGCAAGATAATAAGTTCTTGATTCAAAGACTGAGCTTGTTTGGTCAAGATGGCTGGAGATATATACTGCAAACTCAATTTTTGCTGCTCTCTCACGCTGAGGGAGGGGAAGGAAAACATGTCATATTTTGCAGTGAAGATTTAGAGAGTGAATTAATTGTGTAAGTTGAAACTTGAGAGCACAAGGCCTCACATAAGGGAAAATATGATTGTTTTCTTTGCATTCTGCAACCAAAATCAAATCTCCTGAAGTCTTCACACCAACAGGACTTTTAAAGTTTTCAGGGCACAAAGAAGCAAATAATCCTCTAATGGGATAAATCATCCAAGAAAGCTAATTTACATGTCTTGCACAAAGAAGCATCACAAAACACAACCAGACCGATGCTGGTAGCTTATCTGTTTAAGGTTATTTTACATGCTAAAATTAATGTAATCCCTCTCTGCCTTACTTTGCCAATGTCCGGGTCACCATCCAGGATTGATTAAGGACCCTTTTGTCCATCAGTACTTAGAAGTACATTTGTATCAATCTACGTCTCACTTGAACTTAATGGTTCATAACTTTGGATTTTTAAAAATATAATTTTGCTCCACATTTATTAAAATGTAACTTGGTAGAGCTATTTTACTGTTAACATCAAATGTTTCCTCACAAACTCCGGTATGCCATTGTAATATAAGTAATAATGTTATTGGTGCAAAGTAAGCCAATATTAGGTCAAACACCATCTTTTTCGCACATTTTTTCACAAATGACGTCATATGACGTGTGCATTATGACGTCATTTATCATCCCTCCCCCATCAAATCTCAATGTTTGAAGACGTGGGGGGTTGACTGCCCTGACAGTATAGAAGTGTGTGTCACAGGATGATAGTGGAGTTTTTGTCTGCTGTTCCCATTATGGGACATTTCCAGCTTTCAGAAGAAAATTAAAAATGCCTGACAAATGCCCCAGCAGGGAAAGAGGCCAGTTGGGATGGGTACACTTAGAACTGACGCAGCCATAATTAGACTATAAAGCTATGGTCCCCTGAAAGTAACGAAAGCCTTGACTGCTGATATGAAGGTAACCATTTCCCGGCTCGGTCATACCTAAAATTGTATTTTAAATGGAGGACGTCAAACGATATTTCCAGCCTTTTATCGCCAAATACAATAATTAGATTGATTGGTACCTTTGAATAGCCCTCATTCATTCGCCTAAAACACTAGGAAAGTTTCCACGAGAGGTTCATCAAAGTTCGCCATCTTGGATTCAAGTTTGAGCAGAGAACTGGGGCGACTATTTGGCGAACTTTGAGCTCAGTGCACAGTATACCCTAGCCTCCCCCGCAGGCGTTTTTAGGGGAGCTCGTGGGCGCGATCCATTCAACCAAAATTTCCGGAAATTTCGGTCCAAAACTCAATGGATCGGTTCGGTCCAACCGGAAAAGTTTCGAAAAAACAGGTCCACCTTTTGAGGTGGTCCTCTTTTCCCGGTCGGACCGGTCTGAATTTTGGTTGAATGGATCGCGCCCCGTATTTCTTCCCTCCCCTAAAAACGCCTGCGGGGGAGGCTAAGTATACCCAAGCCAGCACCTTCCCCACCGGTGACCCATGCTTGGTTGTTGGTTGGGTTTGTCACAAAAATACGGACTGTGTAGCAGTCTTCACGTCAGTTGCTGTTGTTGTTTCTTTAGAAAAAAATCACAGGAGCCTGCTGTCATCAGGCAACGCTCCTCCCATAAACGTGCGGTTTTTCCTCTTTGGAGCGGGCCTACATGGAACACGAAGAAAGGGGATTTCGACGCCACGAAAATACCTGAATCACGGCCTTGGAGCTAAGCTTAACTTGATATTTAAGAAATGGAACATCACAGTCCTGTAAAAACTTTATGCATTGGTGGGGGAACACATGGAAATGAGCTTCACGGTGTATACCTGGTGAAAAACTGGTTAAAAGAAAACAATCATCAGGAGACCAAAAGATCATCTTTTCAAACTCGTGCTGTTGTGAGCAACCCCCAGGCAACAAAGAAGTGTGTGCGTTATGTTGATGTCGACCTTAACCGACAATTCACACGCGAAAACCTCTTTCCATCTGAAGATGAAAAGCAAGATTCTATTCCTTACGAGGCTCAGCGAGCTAGGGAACTTTATTCACAATTTCAAGACAAGACCGGAGGAAAAGGATTGGATTTTTGGCTGGATTTACATAACGCGACCGCAGATATGGGCCCCTGCTTCATAATGTCAAACAAGAATAGCCCTTTTGCTTTGCATATCGCGGCTCAAGTACAGGCAGTCTTCCCAGAAATCCGAATCCTACAGCTAACAGGTATTTTCGAGAGTGTTAATTTTGACAATGAGCAGAACGGAAAGGATGTGAAAAACCAAAATAATACGGATATTTCAGAATTTCCCACCGGGAGTGTTTCAAATATTGCGAAGGAAGGGTTTGCCCTGGAGATGGGCCCCCTTCCTCATGGTACTTTTAATCCAGCAATGTACAACTTAGCAAAGGAAATCGTTCTTGGAGTTCTTGATGCTGTGGAAGAATTCAATCATGGAAAAGAATTTAAAGAGAAGGAAATTGAAGTTTTCAGATTTAAAGGTGTTGTCAACTATCCTGTTGATGGAGAAGGTGATATTTCTGCCATGATTTCTCCTGACATGGATGGAAAAAACTGGAAGCCTCTTCACCCAGGAGATCCTCTCTTTTTGTCCTTTTCTGGCCAAACCATACCGTTCCAGGGTGAGCATGTGGTATGGCCAGTTTTTATCAGTGAGGCTGCATATTTCAGCAGCAAGATAGCTTTTGCAGTAACCAAGAAGGAGAAGGTTTTTATTCAAGCACTAAAAGTAAAAAACAACAAGTAATTGATCAATCACTGCGCTTCTTTCTTGCTTCTTTACAAGCTTCTAATATCAGTTATGGTCATCATTAGTGGAACATACAGCCTAAAGAAAAAAAGACATGAAAACACAATGTGAAGATAGAAATCAGAGAAACCAAAATCATGCTTAGTTTCATAAGCGTAATATTGATTTTAACAATGCTTTGATCGTTGATAAAGGGAATAGACCTTTTTCGTTATACCCAGCATCTTTGCACGCGATTCAGGATAGGTGAGATAAAAGCAATGTCAATGTCAAATTTGTCAATTCTAGTAATCATGGTCAAGTTTGTGCATTCTTGCAAACAACAATTTAATAGTCATGCAAAATGTATGGTACAGACAGGTTTTTTTATTGCTTGCTGTGCGAACATCTACAGTTGCTACAGCATCCAAAAAGGTATCAATGGTGAATTCCACCCATAACTTGCCATTATCTTCTTTAAGACAAAAAGTTGTGTATTTTCTTCTGTATAGAATAAACAAGCTTGACTGTGATTTCTTATTTGCCCCCATGCCATGTGGCCTCACTTTTATCCCATCAGTTCTCAAAAACTGCATGCAAAGATGGCGATTATTGTAAATAAGGTCTATTATCACATAAAAAAGTTACTAGAATCCCCTCATCTGAGAGGAGGGGGCAGAATGGGTACTCCTGGGAGTTTCTGATGAGAGTGTACTGCCCAGTTCTCTTAAATCCTGACCCTATTTCAGACCTAAAAATGTCATTTACCACGCTAGGTTTCAGACCTGGCCCCTGAAATCCATAACCATTTTCTTACAGAAATTTTGCCATCATTACTTAGATTAGTTTTAAGATTTCTCAAAATCCATTTCTATTTCACATATTACTCATTCTTTCCCATTCACTTGGAATTGAAACAACAAATTTGTTCATACACTCCCTTAGTTTCCTTGAAAACCATGCAAATTTCCTCACGGCTGAAATGGGCAAAGTCTATACCCGTTATTGGACTGAATTGCTACTACAACCATACCCTATGGGGCGGCACATACCTATTTTCGTTATATAAGGGAGTACCCTCCAACTCCAGGGCTGGCACACCATGAGCATTTCTAAACTTTACAGCATGGCCAGTACCTTACACATACTGGGCACAGCCATATCACCCTGGCAGTGGCAGCCATGGACAGTTGTTATGCCCTCATTGGGGTTCACCAGCATGGCAAAATGGTCAGACCTTGTTTTTCTTTTTTACTGATTTATTTACAGATCAAGCAAGTTTAACAATCTACCGTAGAAATAACGGGCATTAAATATATAGTTAGGGATTACAAATCAGTTTACATAGGTATAAAATAAGTAATTGCTATGTTCTCAAGGGAACTGGAAGTGTTCTTTCAGCAATTGTGGGCTAATTGACACGCTATATTAGTCTTCCAGGTTTTCAGATAGTGTCAACGCAAAGAAAACTGAGCAGGCAAAAACAGCGAGGGAGTTTGACATCGCGCCACTGCCCTTTATCTGAACGCCTGGAACAGTCAGAATCGTAGCTGAATAGGCAGACGCTTAGCCTGTTCCAGGCTCCGAGATAGTTGGGTCCGCAGAATTGAAGCAGGCTCCGAGATAGTCCTTTCCGCAAAATTGAGAAAGCGCGAACACGAAAATTTTCGCGTGCCTTCACTTATTCGTCATCCCAACTATCTGAGAGCCTGAAACAGGCTAAAAGACCCCCATATATTCCCGACTAAATCTTTGACCAGGGCAAGGTTGTGCCTCTGTCTCTTACCCCGGCAGGTACTCACGACAGTATTCTAGGAAAAAGGGCTGTCGTGTTTCACGTACTGAAGGTATTGATTGTCCGGGTCGATGGTAACTTTATTGAGGATTTACGAGGGAATTTTTTATGTACCTGATTTGCACGATCAATACCCTGCGAGCAGAGGCCCTTCGATCCTCCTAGATAAGTCCTTCGTCTTCCTGACTAATCTAGGAAGATCGAAGGGCCTCTGCTCGTAGGGTACACGATCAAAGCCTCTAATAAGAAAGCGGTCCCACCTTCTTTCGCGATCGCCGGTTTAAGGCTCCAAAGGGCCTATAAGTGCACTTTCGTTTTCCATCGTCACTGAAATACTGAAGGGTAGGCTCGATTTCTGCCGCTCTTGGGGCTCGTTTCTTGGAAGTCCCGATAATTAACGGGCCCGTAAAGCTGTTATGGTTTACATGTAAGATAGAGGTTTCACTAGTTTTGCATCTAACATGATAAACTATCAGTTAATGAAACAAAATGGAGTAGTTTGCTAGTCAGGGCCCTCGCTCTTCTTCTTTACATTTCGATTTGAATATTTGATTTCGGGCCCGAAAAGTTACCGGGACTTTCGAGAAACGGGTCCCAGATCTTGTTCCCGAACATCGCGGCTAATAATCGAACCTAACGTGAGTGTCAATTTCAGCAATCCTGTATAGCCTGTGAACAGGTTCTTAAGTGAAGCGGGCAGGCTAGCAGTCCTGTGACTAACACACTGATATACTCAGTTGAGGAATCTTTGAATATACTCTGAAAACTTCTTTTTAATGAGGGAACTTGCGAAAACAGTGGAAGGACTCGATCAACAAACGGTTTTTTCGTATTTCAATGATCTTTTTTACCTTCCACTCCGGGAAACAGTTTTGTTACTGCCTCCTCCCACCCACTACCTTTTGATAAAAGATACGGTTACAGACTTGTTTCCCGGCTTTCCCTGGTTCTCAGCACAAGATTTGTAAGTAACGCAGGCGTAATTATCATTCTTAAGATCGTGGCGTCGCTTTATCTTTGTCGGCTCTATGAGGCTCAGAACAAGGCTTCGGCACCCGTTGTGGTTATTCAGGGGCGGCAGCGGCGGTTGGTTCAATCTTGGCTTCTTTTCTTTGAGGCCAATTGAACACGTTCTAAATCTTGGCTTTACGCGGCCGCGAACTTGACACATTCACGAAGAAAAATATTCTCGTTTCGGCGGTAAACCGTTGTAAGAAACTCCCTGCGGTATTTTTTTAGTCGCGTTTCTCCCGGAAATGACAAAGCAAACTATTCCCCCCTTTACGGCTTTCAAAGGGGTTTGAATTTTTTCGTTAGAGTTATTCTTATTTTCGAAATGCATGAGCATATGTAGATTTACAACATACCGGAGTTTCTCATGCTAAAGCAGCTAGAGGTTCGATCAGCCAGAACAGAGAGCGTCCTTTAGTCTGTGAGGAGATTCTTATTGCTTCTATTCCCACAAGAGGTCAAGAATAAATATATATGGTAAATTAAAAAATTTTCTAGGGATAATTATCCGATCTATACCGGCAGTATTCTCTCTGTTTTTGTTATTGTTGCTATTGTTTTTAGAATACACATAAATACCGACAAATCTCTAGCCCTCAGTCGATCAATTGCTTAGAAACCCCCTTGTCAACCGAAAAAGAGCTGTGCTTGCATCCACGCAGCCGTAGAACGCCAGTGATCAAGTTCCAGCACGATTTATTTAACCTGGACCCGTGGGGGGGGGGGGGGGGGGTCCCCCGGGGAATTTTTTGGTGTTTTGTCCCGCGGTTCCCCAAACCCCAGGCCCCCTTTTTCACACAAAAAAATTTATTTTTTCACCCCCTTTTTTTGGCCCCCTTTTAAAACCCCCACTCTTTTTAAAACTCACTCCATAAGCAGATCCTATACAATCATACTTACAACCTTAACAGACAGCCCCACCCACCTACACCTCTGATACAACCGTCAGCGGGTAACTCCCTGGTTCGTCCGAAAAAGAGCTGTCCTGGCCTCCACGACGCCGTATACCGCCAGTGATGAAGTTCCAGCACGATTTATTTAGCGTGGTGCCGGGGGGGCGGGGGGGGGGTACTCCTGGGAATTTTTGGTGAGTGTGTCGCGCGGTTCTCCAAATCCCAGTGACCCTATTTCAGACCAAAAAATGTCATTTTTCACGCCCGTTTTCTGGCCTGCCTTTAAAATCCCTACTCGTTTTCAGACCTGACCTCTAACAGGAGTCCATGAAATTATGCCTCATTACCTAAAGTTAGACACCAACAAAGAAGATTTCTTAAGTCCATTTCGCCGAGATTCGTGTATTTCCCTTTCTTTCTTGTTCATTTGGGAAAGGAACGATAAATACGTTCATACACTCCAGTAGTTCCCTCGAAAATCATACCCGATTCCAGACCGAAATGGGCGAAGTCTATACCCGTTTTCAAACCAAAACAGCGCAAGAACCCTACTCCCTGGGAACCTGGACTGGGTTGTACAATGCCGGGTTACAACCCATGGTCAGTGGATGGTTAGTGGGTAATTTGAATTCAGATATTAAAGTTTCCGTTTCCGCGTTTCTCTCGCGTCTAAAACTCCCTTTCCCTTTCAAACGCATGCCACGCAGGCTAACTCTAAAAAGATCAAAGACTGAATTATCCGACAAAATGCTCTAGAGCACAAGAGAAAGAAACCCGGATACAAAAATTTAACCCATGGTTCGCGCTAGCGACCTTCAATTAAGTGGGCTATCAAAAAACCCCGGGGATACTCCTCGGAATTCTTGGTGGGTGTGTGCCGCCCGGGTCTTCACTGAGTGATCCATTTCGAATTCGCATATGTTCCTTTCTTTCTTACTAATTTGGAATTAAAACGATAAAGACGTTCATACAATCCCGTAGTTCCCTCAAAAACCATACTCGATTCCAGACCAAAATGGTCAAGTGTATACCCGTTTTCAGGCCAAAACGGCGCAAAAACCCTACCCGATGGGGCGGCACATACCTGTATAGCTTATATAAGGGAGTACCCCCGCCCCCCGGGCAAAAAATGAGGAATATTTTTAATACCTGGTTTTATAAAACTGCCTCTAATTTTAGGAAGTTTTTTTCGAGGAACTGGTCAAAAGCGAAAGCCTGAAAGCGTACCGAGAATGTCGAAATGAATAGGCCACTTGCACTAAGAGGTCACGTGACCAATGCCTCCTTTAAACAATGAGTTGGAATCTTGCTGATGCCAAAAATTGTTAGAGCACACAAAAATTATCTTACAGCCAAAATTTGAGAGGAAACGCATTTAAGGGAGATATTTTGTGGCACTTTGATTTTTCAGCAAAGTAGTATGATTTGTATTGGCCGCCATCAGGAGTCCTGCCGCCATGTTGGAGGGCATGCTGTTGCCCTCCAACATGGCGGCCAAAACTACTTCTTGCTTATATCTTGTTCAACGTTTCATAGTTACGCTCAAATGTGCTGTAAACGTTATCACATTATCTTTCCAACATTTTCCTTGAAGTTTAAGTGCAAAATTTGTGTTCAGAGAGAGGTAATTCGTAATTTTAAAAATCACATTTTGGTCACGTGACCATTTACGAACTTATTCATTTTAAGAAAATGGTGCGGGTTTGAAAACCAAATCACCATTATTTTGTTTAAGATATGACCCGCTAATCGTTTTTCGAAGGCAAAATCATATAACTTTCATTTTCATAAAAACGTTGTCACATGCCTCTTAAAGCAAATGGCCTATTCTAGCCTGCGCAGCAAACAGTTTTGCCTGAGTCAGGAACCTATGACCTGCCAGAGTGAATTTCAATAATTCTTTTCGACCAAGAAGACACGAGTAGACCTTTAACTTTTTTACCTTAACTTTCCTTTTAGATTTTCGACTTAACTAAGAAGCTCCATATACGTTGTCCGGCTTAGCCTGTGAATACAGCCGTCTCGCTTCTGTCCTAGCCGCTCTCTCTCGAAACGTCCCGAGCGGCGCGCGAGGAGGGAGCGAGGAGAAACGTTTGTTCGCAGGCCAGTCATGTCTGACTTCCCATAATACTTTTCGGTATTGTTTTGCAGCAAAATTTATGCCTTTTCCACCTCGTCTCCAGGGCGCTTTTCCCTGGCTTTGGAGGTGGGGCGGTGTCGCGGGAAAAAAGGCAGGGAAAAGCGCTCTGGGGAAGAGGTTGATGAGTTTTAGCTGCTAAAAAATAACAAAATGTACTTTCAGATTGAAAACAACACTTTCCATAATTTTTTTAGCTAGACTTGAGAAGATTGCATTACGTTCCCCTCTTACGCCATTGCCTCAATAGCCTGTGTGCAGACGTCTGTGCACAGGCTATTGCCGCAAGGGCGGTAATGTTGCTTCCAGCTAAAACTGAAAACAAATTAAGGCGCTTGCACTAGAGGATTAATAACTGTTTTTATGCATCCTAGCTTGGAAATGTATTTTTCTGCTGAATTTTGTTATATTCATCAGATCAACCATTACCATATTTGGACATCAAGGTCGAGCGGGAAGGTAGCATCTTGCGAAATCTTATGATTGGCTCCTGATCAAAAGCTACCATCTGATTGGCTGTTCCAGTTTCAAATTGAGTTGCTAAATTTTGGCGCTCCTCACTTATCGTTTGTTGGCGCGTCACACAAATTTCCAAAGAGACGATCGAAATGGTAGGTTGATTGAATATGTGAATCCGCTTCCATCCGCCTAATTCGAACCAATTTCATCATATTTTTCTCCAGAAAATGAGCTCCACTTCCTTTTAAGCTAATTGAACATAAATTCAAACTAGTAGCGTCTTTCGCGTCTCATATTTTTAGCGCTAACTTCGACTATTCTGTCGGGTTCGTAGGCAGGCGGAAAAGCTGGTAAAGATTCAAAGGCAAAGGCAAAAGCCGTGTCGCGCTCAGCAAGAGCAGGACTCCAGGTAAAGTAGCGTTTTGGTTGTACAGCTTTAAAAAATATTTTATGCAGAGTTTTTCGCAGACATAGCTGTATTTCTGACTCTATTCGTTGTGTTGCAGTTCCCAGTAGGTCGAATTCACAGACATTTGAAGAACCGAACTACGAGTCATGGTCGTGTAGGAGCTACAGCGGCTGTTTACAGCGCGGCAATTCTCGAGTATTTAACGGCTGAGGTGGGTTTCGCAGGTTGTTGTTGAGTTGACTAAATAAAATGGCCTTAAGTCGTTTTCTAGAGCGAAAACTTCATTCCTTTGTAATTTATTTTGGGCGGTTAAGTTTAGAGTTTGAGCAAAACTCTTAACGTACTTTCTGTCTTCCACTCTCCAAAACTTCTCTCTTCTTCGGTCACAGTGACAGAAAGTATGTATCTACTTTTATCAACGATGTCCAAATCTTGAATAATTGAGAAGGATTTTGCGATAGCAATTGTTTTGCTTCTAACGGCAGTTCCCGCCATATTTAAAATTTGCAAATGGCGTCCTTTTCAAGCTTTTGTTTGAAGAGCAAGCTTTGTTGCTAAATTTTGTGAACTTTCCCGATCCTTTTCTTACAATTAAGCTCATCTTGTTTGCAACAGTATTTCATTTGTTGAAACTGAATAACTTATGCTGTAGAAGCTAGATATTTCGTTTCTCTGTTTAATATCTTTCTGGGCTTACATGTGTGTCTTTCCAAACATAGGTGCTCGAGTTAGCTGGAAATGCTTCTAAAGATCTAAAGGTGAAACGTATTACACCACGCCATCTTCAACTCGCAATTCGAGGTGACGAAGAACTTGACTCGCTAATCAAAGCAACGATCGCCGGTGGAGGTAAGAATTGGTCGTTAATTGTGTAGTTCTTCAATTTGGAAATCCTTCCACGGTTAAAATTTTATACAAGGCACAGTGTGTAATGATAAATCTTGCTGCTTCTTTTCTTGATTCTTTCTTTGTGTTCCTTTCTTGATAATGTTAATTGAATTGAGTGGTAATTCATAGTTGTTTGCGACAGTCTTTCTGTGATCAGATTTCCAGCGTTTGAAACTTCTCCATACCGCCATAAAATTGCTTTGTGTTGGCGCTGCAAAAGCGCCTAGTCTTTTTCCATCTGCTGCTTCGATAATGGCATTGTTTACCGGCTTGAATAGCATAAAATTCGCCTTGTTTGGATTTTCGTAGTAGCTTTCTTGTATACTTTTTTCCGGTAGTTACAGTGTCCTAAAAGCTTTAGTTTTCTTTGTTCTGCATTTGTATAGATGCTTTGCAGAAATTCGATTTTAAACACTTGCTGTACAATGTTGAACTTGATACAATGCAAGCGTGTCAGTAATAGGGTAAATGGTGATGACAGCAGTAAGGGCCCAAGCAACCTTACTGCAAAATTGTCTGTCATTCTTTTTTTCATAATTCTTTTCCTTTTTCAACAGGTGTTATCCCACATATTCACAAGAGTTTAATTGGCAAGAAAGGAGCCAATAAGCCAACATAAGTTCTAATTTTAACAAGTTTCATTTTACTTTATATTCTCTGTACAGTTTCATTGGGACTTCAAGACATTATTTCTTACACACTCATTTTGCAAACAATTTATTAGATCTGTTACGTCACAAATGTTTGTCAGTAATAAGATGTTACGTTTCCCTGTATTTATACATAAAATGTTCTATTGTGTAATTGTGTGTTGCAATAAAATGATCACAACTGTTCACTTTTTAACTTGTCGTTCCTTGCAAATATGTGAAATAATTAAATATTTTTTTTGTTATGTTAGTTTGTGAAAATTCTCCTGTTTGGAGCTGTTTTAAAATAAAGACTTTTATTTGAGATTTTTAAACTGGAAGTTTCGTCTTCGTTTTGTTCTTCTACCAAAATCACTAAGCTGTAAGCACCCCCAAAATGAATTTTTTTTAATATTAGTTGAGCTTGTGACCATTCAGAGCTTCCTGTTGTATCATGTGACTTTCCTTTCACAAAAACAATGAAAATAGTCAAATGCTTTAAACCTGCCAGAACAGAACTCTGCAATAATATTAGAATCAGTAACCTTTTACCTTTTCCAACTGATTTGCCACACTGAACGTTCCTTTGTAATTTCCACTCCAAGCCGTGCTTATTGGCCTTTATAAAGGGAGGGAAAGTCACTTGTCTAAGTAGCTGTCACCTGAGCCAAACAAAAACTCTTCTGTGGTAGGCACAAACAAAAATTAATTATTAAGTGATTTCAGAGGTGTATACATGCACAATATTACAGGAACTTGTAGTATGTTCTAGGAGTCACAAAGTAATGCCAAAAAAGCCTTTTGACTACATGTTGTGTTTGTCTTTTATGTAGTCAATATTCCATTATTCATCATTCAGATATTTCAAATTTGCACTTGACAATGATGATTTTAGTCTTTAAAGGTTTTTGTTAATCACTTGCAATTGCAAGCAAAAGTTCCAAATAGTTTTTCTTCAAAAATCTGTCAAGATTATAAGGTAAATATTGAATGAGGGACAGTGGCTAGGGGACCAGTGGGTTACTATGGTTTAAGTTTTGGCTTAAGTTTTTTTTTTTATGGGCTCCAAGACAAAGATTTTTTAGAATATGTTTATAGCAAAACTCAGTGACATTTCTGTTAAGGTTGAAGCTAACCCTGAGTATTCAGTGGTATGAATGTGAAAATGTATCATATTTACTCCTAAGTGAGAGGATGTTGTGTAACTGGAGTCTGAAATAATAATTATAAGTAAAACAATGCATAGATAAAAATAGATGTGGGTGGATGACAGTGGAGAAAGAACAAAACAAAAATAACAATGTAGATTTTAAAAAAAACAATGGAATGCGGCGAGGACAGGCTTCCATATGTCCCATAAATAAGTTCCCTCACGCCTGCCTTGTGTGGCTTTCAGCTCCCAGTTTCTGAACAAAATTCATTATTTTTTCTGACGTGATGGTGAAAAACAGGAATTTAATTCATTTAACATGGAAATTGATTAAAAGATAATCTTTATTTTGGTGATAAACAAATCAAAAATAAAGGGAATACTAATATGCTAAAAATTAGGAGAGGAGCCTGGGAAGTTGGTTGCAGATTGTGTTTTCATGTAGCCTGCTTGCCTTTGACACAGATGAAACTAAACTTCTGGCATATTCCATTTGTGAGCCAGCATCGTATTCAAGTATATGTGCTGTGATTGGCCAGTTAAAAGGTCCCTGTTGATTTGCCAATCAGGTCAAAGATTGAAAACTTACTTCCTGTAATTCATTAAGTCTGTAGGGGGGCTGGAACAAAGATCAAGGCACTGTTTAGCAGACATTTCTGACCCAACGTTAGATTACTTCTGCAACACATATGCTAATACTGTCTATACTGCGGATTCGCAGACATATCACCATTTGACTTAACGTCACAGGCAACTACATTTTTATACCAGCATTTCAAAAATACATTACATTCAAACTGTCAGTATTAAAAATAGAGACCATCCGGTGAAACCAAAAAATGTGTCTGCTCAAGGGAGGTATCTGTAGCCTGGGGAGGGGGTGGCTGTACACAGGCTATATGTGGATGAGACCATGACAAGGTGTCTGCTGGCAGGAGATGTTAATTAGCAGAAGCTTGACTACCTTGATGAACTTTTTCCAGGGGCCTATTCTGCTTTAGCCTGCATGGCAGGCGTTGGAAGGGGAAGGGAATTAGGGTGCGAAGGAGGACGGTTCCTTTCCTTTCTCCCTTGTGCACCTAAATTCCCCCTTCCCTGTCCCCTTTTAATTCTTGGCCATCACCAAAAAAATAAAATCCTGAACATTCTGGACATGGTAGGGTTCATGAGTGCTGGGTTTAATTTTATTTACTGAAAATTAAATTATTACTTGTTTGTTGCTCCTGGTATGTCTTTTCCACAACACATCACATTTCTTTTATGTGTGTTTCTTAAAATTCATTCCAGGTACTTGCCACGCTAAGGAATAAAACCTAAACTCCACAAGTTCCCTAATTTGAGGGGCCTTTCAATATTTTTCTCTGTACAGAAACTTAATCAGTTTGTTATTCTTGTACACCCTTAAGTATTGAATATTGTGAACTTTTCCAGTAGTAAAAGACAAAAATTATGATTTTTTTTTTAGAAAAAAGGGCATGAATGTTTAATCTACCCATCCAGAGGCAAAAGGAAAACCCTAGGGGGCTAAATAGGGAAAATACATGGGTATTGTTCATCCAGACCATGGCTTTTTAAAATTATTTTATAGTTTTCAGTCAAAATAAAATACTGTTTCTTTTCGAAAGAATCTGGACCTCAGACCAGGAAAGGCGAGTTGAGGGGAAAGGAATAAAGCAATACTGTGGGGAAAAGATTGAAAAATTAAGTAGCAGTTAAACGTTTTGCTTTTGTGAACAACAGCGAATGATTTGACAAATAGTTTTACTTAAACAAGCTAGCTTTACTGTAAGGCAAGCAGCTGTTTGTGAATTTCCAGAGAAAAATTCAAATTTGTGTGCAAATCGTGTTTACGTTTTTAAAAGGGGGTGCAAATTTACAATAACTGAAAACAAAAGAGTTGCCAAGCAGCGTGTCGTATCAATGAAGCCATCTGCCGTGAAGCAATGAGAATTTGTACTTTAATCCAGGTCCCTCGTTTCTTTTTAATAGCTTCTGTCTTGTTACAATGTCAGTAAAACTGGAAAAGCCTAATTTCATGCAAAAGAGCTAGAACGTAATAGGTTTCTGTAAATATATTTTGCAAAATGTTGGTTTTAAAGTCTACAGTGACGGTTGATTTATTGCTGATCATCTTGTGATATTCTTACTACCTACTTCAATAATTTTAAATCGTCGAGACATAGATGTCAGTAGTGCAAAGCAAAAGTTTTTGCCTGTAGTGCAGATGGCGAAACAGAAATTTAAATGGAATATTTTCGAACTCGATAAATATGAGTGACAAAACGTGTACTCGAGCAGAATTGTCTGTCCATTGCGACAAAAACTGCTTGGTTGCGGCTGAGGACAGGATATGGTACTACTTCCTTGCAACCAGTGCGGTAATATTTTTTGGTGGATTGGTGAGCATCTTAATTTCAAGGATAATAAGAAGAATTTGTGACTCAAAACGAAGTAAACTAAACCCGACTAAAAAGGATGGAAACAAGAAAATTAACGGATTGTCAAGGCCAGATGTTTCAAAACGGGGAATTTATGTTTGGCTTAAGGAACAAGCGGCAACTCTGATAACTGCCCAGACTTTTAAAGGCCGGTGTTTGGTGAGTACCGTAATGAAAATAACGCATGATCGAGAGGAGGCTTTCAGCTGTTTTGTTAATTAACCGGAAGAACTATAGTTTATACTTTCGAGAATGGGTCTGTGTTAGTAATACTAAAACGCCATAAATGTGCCTAACGATGTGCGCGTTTTTTTCTTTTGTTCGCGTTGAAATTGACAACTGAGGGTGAAGTTTGCACCGAGTTCAAACACTTCAGTCAGTTGATACATACACCCGTCAAGGTATCTTTCGTTCCTCTGCATCATAATTATTAAAGTAGTGCAACGTTGTCAATCATTAAAGCTGCCATTTTGTGTGTAGGAGTTGTTCCTCCAGGAACTCGTGTTCTACATCTTCAACAGCTACTGACAATTTGCAATGGGGCGTAGAATTCAACGTTCAATGGAAAATAAACATGGTCAGATTGTAAATAAGTCGTGAGCGTCTGTTTCCGTTTTTCTAATTTAAGTGATGCACCTTTTATGTCGGACAATGTCTGAAATGTAAATTAGTTTTGCCATAAATCTTTTTGTGTTTCTGTTATAAATCGCGTGACAATAACTAAGGCAGTTTTAAGATAACCGAGTTCGCGCGTGTTTTAACAATCTCACATGCTACACAATCACAGGATATAAACAAACATGGTTCCGAGATAACCTATGAACCTGAAGACACACTCGACTGGACAAGTTTTTTTTTTCCTTCAACAAGACCTAGACTCTGTCGTATCTGAGTGGTGTCTGATGAATTTAATAATTACAAGTCACCCGATTTCAAATCAATCTCAAGGAATATATGGACGTTTGTCTGTTCCACATACACCCCCTGGTATTTTGGAGGGGAATTTTTTTTTTTTTTTAGCTTTTTGTTAGTATGAATTTCTCTCTTTTACGTGATGGATATTCCTTAATATTTGTTGATGAATATTGATTACTATCTTCTGATTCATTTGTGAAGATCATAAATGCAATGCAAACTAATATTATTACTGTTTCATAACTTTGGTATACATTAATAATAGAACAAATGTGATCTTCATTTTTCATTCACCCTTTACAAATGTTCCAAAAAGTTTCCAAGGCAACCAGCGAACAAATTGAATAACACTCTTCTTCCTTTTGTTGCCATAGAAATGTAAGTGATATTGCGTGAAAACATGCATCCACCACAGGTGTTCAATGTTTTCCCACAAGTTTTACAGACTTAGAAGCGAGTTAAAAACGAAATTTTCATTATTAATTGCTATGTTGAATAAACCGAAAGTGAATTACTTTATTTTTAGTTTGCTATAATGGAGTGGAAAAAAATGGAAGGCCAGCTATTCTGGTCATGTTTGGATGCAGTGCAGATTAGATAACCCTGATATAACAAAGTGCTGCCTAGAGCTAGAAAATAATTTGTTATGATGCGATTATGTTATTTTTGGGTCTTGTTCCATACCTTCTTTTGCAATACTGTAAAATGATGTGGTCATGCAAATAAAGCAATTTATTACTATTATTATAATTTACTATAATGTTGAAGGCAAAATATGTCATAATTTCCTGGTTTCACTGTACTAAATTAGAGTAATAAAAAAATTGCACATTTACTTATAGCAGGGTTAATCATAGCTGTAGAAGAACAGTAGATTTGATGCACTTGTCAACATTAATATTATCAAGACCTTTGTAGGGCATTTTTTAATAAAACAGATTCACAACTGGTTACATACCACTCAGTAGGTCAGAATGTTTTAGACTTAGAAAATAATGCAATGACACACAATATACAAAATTATATTTCTTTCAAAGATGGAAACTATGTTTAAGATAGTGATAAGAACAATATTTCAGGGGATAACAGTGGTTCAGTGTTCTTACTACTCAGATTTATCAACAACAGCAACAACAACGTTTATTCACAGGGTTGCATAAAAAGGAAAAAATGATATAAAAACGAAATAGATTAATAAAAAATAAAAAGGGTAACTCCTCCTAAAAAAGAAATTTGTAGTCAGTAGATTAAAGTAGGGTAGAATGCATGAGGATTAATAGACTTTTTAGTACATCTCAGAACTCGTGAGAAACAAGAGATAAATTAACAAATTATGTTGCCTGTCCAGCAGTGTTCTCCCTAACTTTTAGCTCAGAAGGTGAGGGACCATTCATGGCCAGTAAGGCAAAAAATATGCACCTGCAGTAGCACAGTTTGCTAGGGGGGGGGGGGGGTGGTAAGGTGATGGCCATGGCCCTGCCCTCAGTGGGCAATTTAGGTTCAGAAATCCGGAAAAAAAAAAAGAAAAATTAAAAAATTTAGTTGGGCGCCCAGCATCTTCCTCCCAAACTTTTAAGTCAGAAGGGGAGGGCACATTCAGGGCCGGTAAGGCAAAAAAAAAGCCCCGGGGGTACGCAGGTTTGTGAGGGGGGGGGGGAGTAGTAGAGTGATGGACATGGCCCTGCCCTCACTGGGAAATTTAGGAGCTAAGTTCTCTGAAATGTCATTCCCTCAGTTTAAGACCTATTTTAAGCAAATCGACCATTGTTATCCTTGGACAACAATTTAGAACGTTTCATTCCAATAATTTTACTCTGTCTTCAATGTTTTCTTTCCAAAATGCATGGCCCATAAAAAGGAAAGCTGTGTATACTTTAGTACTTACTTTTCCATATATATTTATTCGTTTTTCTTTTGATAATCGGATTGGATCACAACTTCCTTTTTAAGAGCTACTTTTTTTAAAATTTTTGTAAACCTTCAAGTGGTTGCTGGCGGTAAGAAGTGTTGCTTCAGGTGGTAAAGTTTACCGGTTACCGTCTGATAAGGAGAACACTGCTGTCCATTTGTTTCTATAAAATGAAGCATTCATAAAACTATACAGTGGGGTGCTGGTCAAAATATTTCAGCGGTAGACGTTAGAGAGAATGTATGAGAACCGCTCAAATGGGCCTAATCTCAGGTTTGATGTGTTTGGAACTTGCTCTGTCTGGCGCCATTTTGAATTTTCCGCGTACCTTGCTTTACAAGTGTGATCCATTGTTCGGCGTTTTGATTGGTTTATTTTTCTGTGCGCCTGCGTGACCTGGCGCGCCAAGTAGCCCGAAAAGTAGCCCGTGACCTCGAATTTTGGCTTCTTCGTCGTTTTTCTTGTTTTTGGAACATGTATCAGCTGATGGATCGACGTTTCCCTGGTGGCCTTTGTCATCTTGTTTACTGTGTTGATTTAAATGATAGTTCCTCTTTAATCAGGATCACTCACGACCGTATGGAACTCTTTCTCACTTGGACTCATCAGGCAGTTTCATGCAATGGTTGCATTCAGATTAAGATGAACAAGTATACGCATGCAAGTATGTTTATGGTTTATACCGTGGTTTGCTTCAACACTAGCCCTTGAAAACCATGGCTAATTTTATGGTTATAACGTTTGCCGTGGGTGTAAAAAGTTGTATGATGACAGGACATAGACCTTCCAGGGGTGGATCCAGGATTTTACGTGAGTGATTTGCACCAACTAAACTAGGGGGGTTGGGGGGCATGCTCCCCCAAGAAAATGTGAAATTTAGTGCTCTCAAACTGCCATTTTCCTGCGTTCTGAGAGCACCTCAAGCCATTCAGACACATAAACAGTACCTCCTCCAGGAAGGCATAATTCTGTACAAATATTCATTACTTTGTTTGACTATACAAGGTAACATTTTTTTGTCTAGATCTGAACTTTGCCTGTCTGTGTCTAAGGGGTCTAGCAAGTGAATTAGCATTGATAAAAGTGTTGAGAAGCCTACACGACTCCTGCAGTTCGCTGTAGAATAAATTCTAATAAAGCCTTCATAGCTTAGCTTTAACTAGGATGTCCTTTAGGGATTTTCCCTTACGGTATGAGATGATGGGGGAGCTCCTTAAAGATTTCTCTCAGTTGCGGTTGATTTTCTATCATGAGTATGTCCTTTAGGTTAGGCAAAGCCGGGTGGTATTGTGTTACAAAGGGCAGTATTTTCTTAGGTGCAGTTTTGTTTTTCTGTGCTAGCAACATTTCTCTATCAGAGAATTTAATCTCTGAAAGGTTTTTTTCTACAATTCTAGCTGGGTAATCTCTATTCTGCAGGCGTGTTCTGAAATTACTCATGTTTTCCTCAAAAGTAAATTGAGAGGAATTTGTTCTCAGAAGCCTTAACGCTTCTCCTTTTATAAAGCCTTACGTGACGCCCTGGTGGGTGACACGAATAGAAATTCGTGTATTGAAGGTTTCTGTATCACAATTTGTCGAGTTTATTCAAATTCCTCCCACACTGGACTCCAAACAAAACACACGGTAAACAAAATGCACCATTGAGAAATTTTGAGTATGCTAGCCAGGGAAATCTTTTCAGCCAGCACCACACGAAGTGACGCTTAGAATTTGAACATTTCACTGACACTGGGAAATCAAATAGCTCACCTGGTTTCCACGCATTCTCTATGAACTTG